ACCAACTGGATAACTCTTCAGTAGTGTCTCTAGAATTATTTCTGTGGAAAAAGAACAGTTCTTGGTTACTTACTGGCTTTTTTTTTTTTTTTTTTCCAGATGGAGTCTCACTCTGTCACCCAGGCTGGAATGCAGTGGCGCAATCTTGGCTCACTGCAACCTCCACTTCCTGCCACCACACCTGGCTATTTTTTTTCTTTTTCTTTTTTTTTTTTTGAGACAGAGTTTCACTCTTGTTACCCAGGCTGGAGTGCAATGGCACAATCTCGGCTCACTGCAATCTCTGCCTCCTGGGTTCAAGCAATTCTCCTGCCTCAGCTTCCCGAGTAGCTGGGACTACAGGTGCGTGCCACCATGCCCAGCTAATTTTTGTATTTTTAGTAGAGACAGGGTTTGACCATGTTAACCAGGATGGTCTCGATCTCTTGACCTCGTGATCCACTCACCTCGGCCTCTCAGAGTGCTGGGATTATAGGCGTGAGCCACTGCGCCCGGCCTATTTTTTTTCTTTTTTTTGAGATGGAGTTTTGCCCTGTTGCCCAGGCTGGAGTGCAATGGCGTGATCTTGGCTCATTACACCCTCTGCCTCCCGGGTTCAAGAAATTCTTATGCCTCAGACTCCGGAGTAGCTGGGACTACGTGCCACCATACCTGGCTAATTTTTGTATTTTTAGTAGAGGTGGGGTTTCACCCTACTGGCCAGACTGTTCTCGAACTCCTGACCTCGTGATCCACCCACCTCGGTCTCCCAAAGTGCTGAGATTACAATTGTGAGCCACCGTGCCTGGCCCTAGTTTTTGTATTTTTAGTGGAGATGGGTTTCACCATGTTGGCCAGGCTAATTCAAACTCCTGACCTTTAGTGATTTGCCCACCTCAGCCTCCCAGATTGCTGGGATTACAGGCATGAGCCACTGTACCCTGCCTCTCTTACTAGCTTTTTTATTTTACTAGACTTAATGCTAGAGTTCTTTGCCAGGTCACCTTCCAAACCACTGCCAATTACGTTACCTCTGTATCTCATTTCTTTGGAGAAGTAAAAAACTTGCAAAATGGCTGTATGGATTAAATGAGATAATATATGTAAAACATTTGGCACAAATGTTAGTTCCTTTTCTCAATATAAATTTTTCTTTATAGGGAGTCTGAAGATACGGTATTGCTGGTCCTCAAAGAGATTTACCAAACCCAGGGTATCTTCCTTGATCAGCCTTTACAGTAAAAGTCACCCATCTATGGCTGCTTAATGTAAGTTTTAAAATGTCATGTATGGTTAACAGGTTATAATGAACTATAGAGCCTCAGGTTCTTTTTTTTTTTTTTTGAGACGGAGTTTTCGCTCTTGTTACCCAGGCTGGAGTGCAATGGTGCGATCTCGGCTCACCGCAACCTCCGCCTCCTGGGTTCAGGCAATTCTCCTGCCTCAGCCTCCCGAGTAGCTGGGATTACAGGCACGTGCCACCATGCCCAGCTAATTTTTGTATTTTTAGTAGAGACGGGGTTTCACCATGCTGACCAGGATGGTCTCGATCTCTTGACCTCGTGATCCACCCGCCTCGGCCTCCCAAAGTGCTGGGATTACAGGCGTGAGCCACCGCGCCCGGCTAGCCTCAGGTTCTTTATAAATAATACTGTTACCTGTCACCAAGATCTAGGCTGCTGTTCATTTTTAGAAGGACTGGTAGAAATTCATAGGGGAAAAAACATAGTAGCCCATTTAGAGGAAGAATAGTGTATGTCTGTTTTCCTAGAGATTTTGTCCAATGACACCTGTCATTTTTTTAGGATCTAAGCTTAGAATCTTAATGGTTCTGATTAAGAATTACTGTGGCAACAGTTATGATTTTAATTACAAACCACCCATCTGAGATATAAATTACTCAGCTTTTTAGATGTGAAACTATAAAGTCTGTATATTCGACTCTGGCATTGTCTGTGGTTGCCTTCCAGTTGTGACTGCAGCTCTTCTCCCACTCTCTTCCCTAGATGGATACTGAGGGATCCTTCCCCAGAAAATCCACCTGTTTGTTGCTGCAGTTTTCCTCTCCTCAGCTGCGTCATTTCCTGCATGTTGCCTGCCACTTACCACTGGGGTCTTCGGAAGATAATCTTCCTCTTTGGAAATGAATGGAAAAGCAAAAGGAATACCCTGTTACTTTTCACCACTGGCTTCATATAAACACTTGCCATCTTTTCTTCAGAGCAGGGGGTGGTTTGTATCTTTAACTCTTTGATGATAGTTTATTAGGTGCCACACTTTATTGATTAGTACTTGGTGTAAAGCCTATTTGGGGTTTGATTTGTTTTGAGTGAAGTAGACATGTTTTTAAGGAATCTATTGCTTATCTTTAGAAAATGTTCTAGTTTGGAAACAGATTCTTGAGATTTAGAAGGCATTTTAGAGTACTGTCATCTCTTGTTTGTGTTGAACTGAAGGCTAAGTCTCAGCGGATATGGAAAAGGCTTTTGAATGATTTATTTTTGAACCAGCATTTCTTTCATATGTGTACCATATGAAGGACTAGGATGCAGCTTTAAAAAACTGTTCACTCTCTTAGAACTGACTGACAGACTTACTGCTAGAAATCACTGATGTTCATTGTTTTTGCAACTGTTTGAACTGCTGTGAGAGTCTAAAGCTGACAAGTTCGTGTTAAGTGTATCTTTATAAAGCAAAGATGTTATATATCGTAGGCTTCCCTTTTATATTTGATAGAATTTGATAATAGCTTCTATTGTTACATTGAGAGTAGTTATAAAAGCTGATGAACCTGAACTTATGTAGCCTTTACAGGCTGCTTAGGTTCTAAATAAAATCTCTTAGTGTTGCCTTTATGGCGAAACAATTTGTCACCTGCCCTTTCTTTTTAATTTTTGAGATGGAGTTTTGTTCTTGTTGCCCAGGCTGGAGTGCAATGGCGCGATCTCGGTTTACTGCAACCTCCGCCTCCCAGGTTCAAGCGATTCTTCTGCCTCAGCCTTCTGAGTAGCTGGGATTATAGGCATGCACCACCATGCCCAGCTAATTTTTTGTATTTTTAGTAGAGACGGGGTTTCTCTATGTTGGTCAGGCTGGTCTCAACCTCAGGTTATCCACCTGCCTCAGCCTCCCAAAGTGCTGGGATTACAGGCGTGAGCCACCGCGTCTGGCCCAACCTGCCATTTCTACTTGGGCGAAGGTGGTATTGTGTATCCTCTTTCCTTTTTGGGTATCCATAATCCACAAAGCATATTTAAAAGGCTCCTGGCAAGGCCAGGCACGGTGGCTCACGCCTGTAATCCCAGCACTTTGGGAGGCTGAGGTGGGCAGATCACAATGTCAGGGGTTCGAGACCAGCTTTACCAACATGGTGAAACCCCGTCTCTTAAAAATAAATAAATAAATAAATAAATAAAAATAAAAATAAAAGGCTCTTGGCATGGGCAGCATTGGTTGAGCAGGTAGGTTTGGCTAGGGTGAAATGTTTAACTTACTCTGAAAGAAAAACTTATGCCTGTAGGGTCCAAGAAACAGCTATTGCAGAGTCAGTGTCAGCTGAGTCTGGAACCTATGAAGTGGGGTTTAATTCTAAGAACACAAGTGACTGACTGCACACTAATTTTGTCAAGGCATCTTTTTCACTATTTTGCTGTAGATTTTTCTTCTTTATTGGTCAGTTTGTCATTGTCTTTGCAGTTATCTTTATGATAGTCCTTTCTACTTGCTCTGATTCCACAGGCCTCTGTTTATAGAGTGGCAAAGGCAGGCCAGCTGTGGTTTATTGTTTATATATTTTTTTATGTTATGGTATCCAAAGCCTCTGGCATTTAATGTTTATTGAAGCCATTCCGTAGACAGTAGTGGTCTTTATCCCTTTCTGGAGGAAAAAAAGGAAAATGAAGGGTAATTACTGTTGCCTTGGAGATTGTAGAGGTAACGCTGGGGTGTAGGTCAGGCCTGGCCTTTCCTTGTCATGTGCTGATGGTCTAATGCTAAGTACGCCACTAAGTTTCAGATTTTATGGAATACTTTATTTTTTAAAAAGTATATAAACTTGGAGTTACTGAGAATTAAGAAGCATTCACTGTATATTAAGGGGAAGCTTTTGCCAAGTTGCAGTCTTCAAATTTATGTTTACTCTTCCTATTGGCAAAATAGGTGCTATTTAAGAGTAAAACAAAGGACAAGAGAGAGTGAGTCCCTGTAACCAAAGATGGACAACATAGCCCTGGATAGCCAGATAAACCACTCTTTGTATTAAGAAATGTTTCCTTCCTAGTGGTGAGGGGGTGGGTAACTGTGAAGAGCTTTATATCTTGGCTATTCATGGTATTATATCTGTATATTCCCAGGATAATAAGCTTGATTGAAATCCTGTATTTAGTCATATATTATTTGCACTGCTTTCATTTGTATCATGTGCAATCTGTAGACCAAGCCTATTTTAAAACTCTGGTACAGCATCATTTTGTACATATTCCCAGCTGCAGAATTAGTATTACTTATCTCGGCAAAAGAGATTGTTTGCATGGAAAGAGTAATAGCACTGATTAGATTTCTAATATTTTGCACTTTTGAAATGTTTGTTTTTTTACGTGATTATATTTAAAACTTTAGTAAATACTGAAATCAAACCGTATTGACTAGTTGCCTACTTTCACCTGGACTCATCCGTCACAAAGTAAAGAAAATCAATACAGTAACGATTTTCTCTTCCTTTATGTATTGCTAAAACAAAAAAAAAAAAAATAAAGTTTTGGGCAAAGAACTAACAGGTAAGTTCTTTTCCCTTGATTGGTGTTTTTATTGTCATAGGCAGTTGTCGTTCAGAAGTTAAAGCATGGCAATTATAAGATAAATATGGATACTCTTCTTTGGTATTTATAAAAATTAGCCAGTACCATAGGTAACAGCATTTGAATCACTTAGGGTGGATGAGGAATTCAATGTTTTGCTTTATTAAAGTTCCAGCTCCTTAATGGTACTTTAAATATTTAAAAAAAAAAAACACAAATTTACCATTTTATTTGAATATCAGGTTTACTGAAGGAAAAAGATATATTGAAAATATAGGAAGATACAGATAAAAGACAAGGTCATATTTAAAGTATAATCACAATAAAGAGAAAGGGAGCTGTAGGTCCTATGGCATCAGTTCTGATGACACACTGTAACTGTTCCTTATATCCCATTGTGAAGAAGGGGCAGAAAAAGATTCATTTGTCCTTCAGGTGGTGATGTCTGTAATTTTTCTTTTCTTAGTCACTTGGCAGTATTGGTGCATTTGAGCAGATCTTCATTTATGAATGGAAGGAGAGAAGCTCACAGTTACGGTCAAATGAGGTAGAAACAATCATCTGTTAGTACTGAAACCATACTCCTGACCATTTTCTTCTTTATCATGGTGTTCACTTCGTAATCCAACACTGTTTATGCCCACGGTGTTAAAAATGTGTAGCAGTACCAGATGGCTGGACTCAGGTAAGATACGCACAAAAGTGATAAATTACCCCAGATTTGACATTTTCCTATTTAAGGCTTGATGGAATTGTCATCACAGAAGATAAACAGAATCAAAGTAATTTAGCTGGTCATGCCTTAGATTTTAAGATTTTTGAGCTTTACAAAATGGAAATTAAATTTAAAACTATGTAGATCTTTGGATATCAATCTGATAGGCCAGATTCATAAGCTGTTGGATGCCTTTGAAATATCCCTTTACTAGAATATATGGCATACAGTAGTTGACAAGAGCTGTGCCTCCTCAAGATAGAGCTGTGTGAGCAGGGGCAAAAGTGCGTAATCATTTGGAGGCAGAATACAGTGTGACTTATGTCCTCACTTGTACCTTGGAAGGGGAAAAAATGGCCAAAATTTCTTGTCTTGTGCATGGTCCAGTTTGGAGGGCTAGTTCACCTGTTCTTCATGGAAGTAGATTCTTTTTTTTTGAGATGGGGTCTCACTCTGTTGTCTAAGCTGGAGTGCAGTGGTGTGATCTCGGCTCACTGCAGCCTCTGCCTCCCAGGTTCATGCAATTCTCCCACCTCAGCCTCCCGAGTAGCTGGGATTTACAGGTGTACCACCTCTCCTGGCTAATTTTTATACTTTTAGTAGAGACAGGGTTTCACCATGTTGGCCAGGCTGGTCCCAAACTCCTGACCTCAGGTGATCCACCCTCCTAGGCTTCCCAAAGAAGTGTTGGGATTACAGGCGTAAGTCACCGTGCCTAGCCAGATTCAATTTTTAGATATCAAAACAATAAGAATCCCCAGGCTGCTTCTGTGCAGTAGAAAGTGCACGTTTGTCCTGAAATGGTTTATGGCATTCTACATCAGTCAGAGGAGGATAATACTGCCGATAGCAGACATAGGCAAATGTCATTCCAATTATGGATCCAACGAGTACATCTGAAGAGAATAGAAACAAGGTCTTCTCTTAATATTAGGCTCTTAAATCCTTCTAGTGTATTGCATAGAGGACTTGTCCCTCCAGGATATTCTACTATGGTGCTAAAATCTCAATTCTAGATTTATGGTTTCATTAGGCTTTCTCAATTTTATCATAGTTACAGGATTATCATTGTCAGGTTGCTCTCCGAACACCAAATCAAAACACATCTTTTGTTTTTTTTTTTTTTTAAGACAGAGTTTTTCTCTTTCATCAGTCTGGAGTGCAGTGGTGTGATCTCAGCTCACTGCAACCTCTGCTTCCTGGGTTCAAGTGATTCTCCTACCTCAGCCTTCCAAGTAGCTGGGACTACAGGTACGAGCGATGACACCCAGCTAATTTTTGTATTTTTAGTAGAGATGGGGTTTCTCCATGTTGGCCAGGTTGATCTCGATCTCTTGACCTTGTGATCTACCTGCCTTGGCCTCCCAAAGTGCTGGGATTATAGACGTGAGCCATGGCACCTGGCCCTTCAAAACACATCTTAAGTAAATACAATAAGCTTTGTTCAGAGTGTATTAAATTATATATTTTTTAACTCCAAATAATAATAAAGGTCCACTTAATGCTATTCATCTACCCATCTTCACTATTTAAAGGGTCCTAGAGGAAGGAATAAAGTCTTTTAAGAGTTGCTTCTCTTGGCAAAAAGCTAGTTTATTTAAAATATGGTTCCTGAAGACCTGTGGGCAATACTATCAATGTTTTTTTGGAATTGTGGCTTTGAAGGTAATTCTATAATTTTTTTTTTTTTAAGGTACAGTCTCAGTCACTTGGGCTGGAGTACAGTGGCGTGATCTCAGGTCACTGCAGCCTCCACCTCCCAGGTTCAAGGGATTCTCCTGCCTCAGCCTCCTGAGTAGCTGGGACTACAGGCATGTGCCACCATGTCTGGCTAATTTTTCTATTTGTATTTTTATTTATTTATTTTTGAGACAGAGTTTTGCTCTTACTGTCCAGACTGGAATGCAGTGGCATGATCTCAGGTCACTGCAACCTCCACCTCCCAGGTTCAAGGGATTCTCCTGCCTCAGCCTCCCAAATAGCTTGAATTACAGGCATGTGCCACCACGCCTAGCTAATTTTGTATTTTTAGTAGAGATAAGGGTTTCACTCTGTTGGTCAGGCTGGTCTCGAACTCCTGACCTCAGGTGATCCACCTACCTCAGCCTCCTAAAGTGCTGGGATTACAGGCATGAGCCACTGCACCTGGCCTCAACTAATGCATTTTTAGTAGAGATGGGGTTTCACTATGTTGGCCAGGCTGGTCTTGAACTCCTGACTTCAGGTGATCTTCCTGCCTGGGCCTCCCAAAGTGCTGGAATTACAGGTGTGAGCCACCACATCCAGCCAGGTATTTTATAACTTGGATATTTTACTTACTATAGTATTCAGCTTAAATTTGTTTAATTACATGTTTTCTTGAATTTTACTTGTTTCTGAACAAAAGTCCTATGACAATGAACCTGATTTATTTATTTATTTATTTTTGAGACAGAGTTTCACTCTTGTTGCCCAGGCTGGAGTGCAGTGGCATGATCTTGGCTCATCCTGCAACCTCCACCTCCGGGTTCAAGCTATTCTCCTGCCTCAGCCTCCCAAGTAGCTGGGATTACAGGCATGCACCACCATGCAGGCTAACTTTGTATTTTCAGTAGAGATGGGGTTTCACTGTGTTGCTCAGGCTGGTCTCAAACTCCTGACCTCAGGTGATACACTCACCTCGGCCTCCCAAAGTGCTAGGATTACAGGCGTGAGTTACTGCGCCCGGCGAACCTGATTTTTAAGAGAGTAAACTGAACTTTGAGGTTTTAAATTTCTTATACTTTCAGTTTAACTTGAACTTACAGTGCTTCAAATCATGGAAAAATTAGGACATTTATCTTTGGGAAACTCTTTTGCTCATTCTTCCTATAATTTTAAAAGCATATTCTTAGTAACAGAACCCAGACCATCCATACTCATTGATTTGTTCATTCAGCAGACATTTGGTAAGCATCAGGTTCTGGGAATAAAATGAATGAAATATGCACACTTCCACGGCATAAATACTTCGCTTACCTTGCCAGTGATGCTTGTAGTCACACGTGCGGGACAGTGCAATCACAGCTGCAAAAAGCAGAGGCGCCAGAAAGGCGCAGAGCCTCCAAGACTTCCCACGGCCTCGCGGTGTGAAGCAGTGTAACTTCCCTGCCAGGTAGAAGGAAGCAAAGGCCAGACCAGCAAATGCAACTAGAATCAGAAAAACTTCTAAGTGTGTATCTTTTAAAGGAAGCGACCTCATTCATCTCCACATAGGAGGCTAGAGAGCATGAGCATGTTTTTATTTTTATTTTTTGAGACAGAGTCTTGCTCTGTCACTCAGGTTGCAGTGCAGTGGCACCATCTCAGCTCACTGCATCCTCCACCCCCCGGGCTCAGGCGATTCTCCTGCCTCAGCCTCCCGAGTAGCTGGGACTACATGCATGTGCCACCACACTCAGCTAATTTTTTTTTTTTTTCTTTTGAGATGGAGTCTTGCTCTGTGGCCCAGGCTGGAGTGCAATGGTGTGATCTTGGCTCCTAGGTTCAAGCAGTTCTCCTGCCTCAGCCTCCTGAGTAGCTGGAACTACAGGTGCCCATCACCACGCCTAATTTTTTGTTTTTAGTAGAGATGGGGTTTCACCGTGTTAGCCAGGATAGTCTCGATCTTCTGACCTCATGATCCGCCCACCTCAGCCTCCCAAAGTGCTGGGATTACAGGCATGAGCCACTGTGCCTGGCCTAATTTTTATATTTTCAGTAGAGACAGGATTTCACCATGTTGGCCAGGCTGGTCTTGAATTCCTGGCCTCAAGTGAGCTGCATGCCTGGGCCTCCCAATTGCTGGGATTACAGGCCTGAGCCACTACGCCCAGCCATGAGCATGTTTTAATCCTTTTTTGTGTATATGTCTAGTGTAAATCATTGTGAAGGAAAAGGAAACAAAAAGAAAAATAAAGGACTTCGTGTGCCGAAGTTAATGTTTTATCTGAGAATAGTTTTGGAATACTGGCTATCTGAATTAACTTGTTGATGCCTTAGTTTCCTCATTTATAATAGTCAAGGCTCAGACTTGTTAAACTGTGGAGTTACTAAAGAAGGGGGATTTTCCAAATTCTAGAAACAACAAGAGTAGTCAGATTTTCCAATCCCTACTAACTTTCTAGGTTAAATTCAGTGACGTGAAAACAAGCATAGGGATAGAGTCCATACGATACTCATACAGGAAGAATGTCCACTGGGGAAGCTCTTTCGGCCCTCATTCACCACGTCCTTATCCCCTGTACACATCAAGTCCGAATGGGCTAGCCCATCAGGGAAGCAGCGGTAGAAGAAATCGGGGCGTGGCCTGGAAGAAAGAAGCGTGGTTGGAATGTAAATCATTAACTCCAGAAATGATTTTTCAGTTGTAGCAGACATGAATAATCCTGTGAACTATTGGTCAAAAAATGCCCCAGCCAAAATAAGGTAACTGGATTAGTACAGTCACCACACTAAGAGAAAAGCCTTGCTTCCAAGGTCAGCATTTAAGGTAGTTAGGGGAAAGCCCCACCCCAGCACATGATTACTTTTTAGGGCAAACAGCAAATGACACCAGCTTCAGGAGATGCTCAAGAGGTCACCGACCCCTCTGCTGTGGCTGTTGGTGGGAAATGCTGTTCAGGGCAGAAAAGAGCCCAGGTGTCACCTGGAGGACTGAGGTGCTCGGAAGGGAGTCAGCAATGAATGAGAAAAGAAAGATCAGAGTGAAGATAAAGGGGAAAAGGATAAAGACACTGGTGGTGGGCACCATTACCTCTCTGTCCTGGTGGGTAAGGGCTGAGGCAGATGCTGGGGTGGTTGGCTCTTGTCACTTACCTCCCTACGATCAGTTTTATTATGTTGGTAAAGACGCCATTCAGAGCCAGGGCAAGGCTGGCAGCTGCAAAGCAAAGCAACTAGTTAGTGGGATCTGTCTAGGAAGAAAGGCATGGTCGTGGCCTCACTTGAGAGAGCAGCCATGCTGTTTCTGAGATGGATAAAATCCAGGCCTGGGCACAAAATTAATTACGGTCCTCAGTGATCATTCTATTGCAGCCGAGAACTTCCGTACTAGGCCAAAGACATTTCTGAGGTACAAATAACCCAGTGCATTTAGGCACAGGGCTGCCTGCGGTGTAGCCTGCGTAGCCACATCCCTGCAGTGCTATTTTCTTCTCCTGCGGGGATAGAGTTCCTTTAGGAATGCAAAAACTGTGTGGCCTCCACACAGGCTCCCCGTGGCTGAACCCCACAAAGACTTCTTAGGTTCCCAGCACGAAGAAACCGGCCGGAAAGGGCTGGCGCTCACCCAGGCAGGCTTGTCTGCTGTCTCTTGTGTCTGCCTTCTTGAGAAATTTGGCCAGGAAGATCAGAGACAGTGGAGAGAGAAATGCAATAACCTGAATTGGAATGTCAGAGGTTAAAACAATCCAAGGAAAGCCACACTCGTGTTTAAAGCAGCTCCTACAGGGAAAAGGGATGGGCGTGACACGGCAGGACTCACGAGTGCTAACACAAGGTCTTGAGTGTGCTTCCTGGGGGCGTAGCCGGGCGCCAGGCAGCACCCCCAGTGCAGTGCCCGTGGTGCTCGGCCCGGTACCTCAGGCGGAGGCGGAACCCGGCGCACAGCAGCGGAGGGGGCAGCGGGTCCCTGCAGAGGCCGCCTCGGGGCGGAAAAAGGACATGTGCCCGCGGGAAGCCCGGTCACGGGGAGGGAGGAGGGTCGATTTTTGTCCACGCACAAACATCGGTTTGGTGGGGAAATACTCCGCCTCCACGTAGGGGTTCCGATAGAGCCACATCTCCTCCGGCTGGATAAGCCTCTGGAACGGGGGGAGCAGCTCCGTCACCCTAGAGAACAAAGAAGCGCAGAGCAGGTCGTCTGGCTTCCCTTCCGCGGCCCGGCCCGCCGCCCTCTGCCGCCTGCCCGCCTGGGAAGCGGGGCCGCCGGGGCCCGGCTGCGGATCTTACAGGAAGGCCGAAAACAGCGCGAGCCGCACCCCGACTTCGGCCCCAAAGGCCGCCGCCGCCGCCGCCTTCCCCATCCGGCCGCGAGACCCGGTCGACGTCGCGCTGACGTGGCCGCCTCCGTGGGGAGGGCCGGGCGGGGAACTACGCACCGCCCCCCTTTTCCGGCCGCCAGCGCTCTGGCGGCTCCCAGGAAGCTGGACGTGCAGTGGGCATGGGCTGGCAAAGGGGCCGTGAAGCCAGCGGACCTGCCCTCTGGCGCATTCAGCGGGGAGCCAGCGTCCCAGCGGCAGCCGTGAGGAGCAGCTCCTCTTCACACCACTGCGGGGAGCAGCCTCCCCCTGGGACTCCGCCTCTAAATGTAAAACCCTACAGCTCCCTCAGAGCCTCGTTCCTTAGCAACGCAGCGGCATTCTGCAGGAAGCGATACCGACTGAGGTGGGCTCGATTGTGTCATGTACTCTTCCAGGGTGGCCTCCTGCCCAGTGAGTTGTAGCAAAACTATTACTGGCAAAGAACAAGCCCACATTTAATTTGGAACATACAGGACAATTTATTGAAGTCAATCTCAAGCAAAATCCGAAATCAGTGGAATGTCATTAAAAACCTTTCCAAATTAATCCTCACGGAAGGAAAAAAAAAAAAAAAAAACCACACTGGAATTCCAAAGTATTTGTAAAATAAAAAAGGCAACATCTCAGTAAATATAATGTACAAAAATTGTATGTTCCTACCAGCACACACATCAGTAAGAAGCTTAAATATTACAGGCAATCCTAAATACACCGTAACTAGTCAACAATAAGCTATCTATATACAGGTTAACCAAGCTTTACACGTTTCACACTATGCAATAAAACATAGGCCAATCAACAAAATCCTCAAAATATCATATATCTTGAAGTCTATGTGGCAACATCAAATCATTATACAGTAATGCCCTAGTGGAACACCCCCAGGGAAAATGAACACGAATCCCTTAGTGTCAAGAGCATCTAGCCAAGTCACAGAAACTCAAAAGAGATTGACTTTAGTGAATATTGATGCTTTGTTATTCAAGACTCAAGTCTCGTGAGTTAGGCAAAATAACGGTTCACAGGATCTACAAAGTTTATTACAGATAAAGTACAGAAATAATCTACAAAGATTATCATAAAGAACACGAGAAAATGAAAACAGTCTGTAGGTATCTGTGTGTGTTGTGCAGTATCACTCAAATGGGTACAAATGAATTTCTCGTTTCCAAATATACACACACCCTTGCATATAAAAAATGATATTAGCCAGTTGTAATACTCATTTAGCATCTTATTAGTGGCAATATAATTTTCTTAACATAGGGTATGTAACAGGACAAATGAGATAAAATAATGACAACAAAGTTTTATCCAGTCCATTTCTAAACTGACAAGAATATCTTATCAATACCTTATATAGGTAATCTGACAGATACTTGAGGGCTATTTGCACACATCAACTGTGTTGGCAGGCAGGGAAGGGAGCAGTAAAAGCTGAGGGTGCTTTTTCAGTAACTAGCAGATGCAGTAATGCCACATAAGAAAACTAAAGACTGAAAAAATGACTTTGGCATCTGTTCTATTTTCCCTTTTTATTTACACATAAATTACTTTTACAGCCTACTGAAGGACAGGTAACTCTCATTTCCCCCTTCATACGTGCCACAAGCACCCAAACTTGTCACTTATGCAATGGACTGACCAAAACAAAACAAAAACAGAAATGGTTTTCGAAAGACACAGATTACCCACATTTTGGGAGTGTGACATTAAGTGCAATTTTAAATTTTTTTCCCTACACAGACATAGTAAAAGGAAAGATGATGTGCTTGGGGACAGGGTTGACACAATGACAAAATAAAGAACATACATAGGAAGTATTCATAAAAATGCTGGTATCTCATGCAGGAGTCTCTCCCTCAAGTGTGTTCAATCAATCTGAGCTATCTACTGTGAACACTCCCATTTGCAGAATTTCGCCTTTAATCCACACTAAAGAGGATAAGAGACTAGGCTATTTATTTTCAAAACAGTTTACAAAACAATGCTTTCTACTTCATAAATTTAAAAAGAAACTGTAAAATAAGGAGAATCTGAAGAGTTTCAAGTACTTAAAAAACCTGAATTCAATGAGGCAGAGGTCTCAATGTTAAAGTGACTACTTCGTACCTGTGGTAAACATTATGATCCCCCCCACTTACCCTATTTAACCCCCCTTTCTCCTGGTACCCCACCCCAGGTAAAAGTTGGTGAGATTTCAGTATATACACATTTCCAACTTTTCAGTATTAATTTCATTGCAAAGCTGTCAATTATACTACTCCCTAGCCCATCTGAAAATGGAAGCAAGTTCTATTTTTTGTTTTACAAATAACCAAAAACCAATTATTCTAGGTAGCCTTAGGCCAAAGGAAAGTGTTTCATTTGATCAATTCATGTCTGCATCAACTTGGACAATTGGGGGGTGGCTGGATGCATCAGCCTTATGAAAAGTAACTTTAGTCTACACTGCCCAGAAACAAAGCAACTTTCCAATGTCCTTGGTATCTCATGTGGAAGTACATCAAATGTAAGCTTCCCAAGTCGTGAGGGCTCCATAGTAACTTGTTTTCTTATCCTGTTAAAGGACATGGCATGTAGCAGCCAGCACCTTGACTTTAAGGTGAATGCTAAAGGAAGAGCTTTGTATTTAAAAATGAAATGAAAAACAAGCAACAAGTCCTGGGCAGTCCAGAGATTATATTCTCTACAGATGGCCTGTTTGCAAACTTTAGGTCTGGATTTGACCTATTGGAACATACCATGCAAGAAACTATTCAAAAAGGAAATTCCATTTCATGAACTAGGAAAGTTGTCCAACAGCCTGTCTTATCTGAGAGTCCTTTACATGATTAGATACTCAATATCTCTGTTCTAAAACATTATTTACAGACATGTTTTCAAATATTTTGTGTAAATGGCAGAAGGGAGCTGGGAGCAGCCCATCCACCTCCATTACTTTTTTAGTTTTCAGGTATGTTCCTGAATCGAACATACAGAAAAATTCCAAATTTTAAATGATTTCCAAACTCAGCCAGTTCTATAGATTAGCGCAGATCATTTTTGAGAATTTAGAGTGGCAAAAATGAAAATAAAACCCACCTCACTCCTATCTCTGTCCCTGATTAGACATTAAAGAAGTGAATCACTGCCTCTGGCTGCTTCAGCCTTCCAGGAATGAAGGGCCATTCACCCTGTCCTTCCCAGCCAGCCACGGGCAGCTCTTCTGATTCCTCCCTAGCAGCAGCGGTGGTCCAGCCACTCCCTCCCCTGCACAGTGCCTGGGAAGGTTTCCCAGGATTTCATCTTTAGCTCTTACTGATCCAATTTCTGAAGATTTAGGCTGATTATCAAAAATCTTATGTTCACTTCTTTCAATGAATTAACATGTTAAAAAAAATCTACCATTAGCCCATGCTGCTTTAAGTTATTTCATTGTTGGACAAGAATAAAAACCAACCACTTATACTCTGACCACATACAGATTTAAAAGTTAACAAATACCAACTTTAGACAATGAGTGAGCAATATGTCTTTTGGACTATTTCATTGGTGTAGCACGGGCACAGTGCACATATACTCAAGCACAGATAAAGGACAATTTTATCTTTCTGCATCTATAATCTGCAACTTAAAAATATACCAAATAGGTCAACATTCACGCTATGGAGGTGTGAGGAGAGCTCCTTGGCATTGGCATGACTAAAACGACTTTTTAGACCATTAAAGAACACTCATGGCCAAAGACTTCAGAACTATGGTTAGTTTTTTTGTTTTTGTTTTTTTGAGGCGGAGTCTCGCTTTGTTGCCCAGGTTGGAGTGCAGTGGCATGACTGATCTTGGCAAACTGCAACCTCTGTCTCCTGGGTTCGAGCGATTCTTCTGGCTCAGCCTCCCGAGTAGCTGGGATTACAGGCTTGTGCCACCGTGCCCGGCTACTTTTTGTATTTTTAGTAGAGACGGGGTTTCACCATATTGTCCAGGCTGGTCTCAAACTCCTGCCCCTGTGATCTGCCCACCTCGGCCTCCCAAAAGTGCTGGGATTACAGGCGCGAGCCATCATGCCCGACAGCTATTTTGTTTTCTACTCTGATTTCTGAAATGGTGAAACAATCCTATTAATCATAAAAAAAATATTTAAAAAATTTCAGCAGAGCTGTGTTACAGATATGAAAATAAAACGTGACACAATGAAGAAGCTGCATAAAAATACTGAAACCTAAGGTATCTGTAGTATATAAGATGTACCCTGGCTTACCATATAAAAGTTATTAGATAGTAAATAGCATTAAGTCTAAAAGCAAGGAGATAAGATTTCATGTTGGATACTGTTTCAACAAGAACTGTATTTGGAATATTAAAGGAAATCCTTATGTTGTTAGTAAGTTTAAAAAACCAAACATCATATACAAAATAAAATTTTAGTATGATAAAACCTAGCTTTTCTTAAATTATTTTTTAAAAGGACATCAAACTATATAATTGCTCAAGAGCAACGTTTAGTGTTTTGGTGAGCTGTATTTCATGTTACTTGTAGCAATTATATTTGGTGACATGGATTGCATTTTCCATTTTGCTCTTTCTTTTGGGACCATATCTAATCAACAGAAGTACTTGGAAGCCCAGTGAGTCACCGCAGAATTAATTGCTGGAGTTAGGCAAATGGCAGTTTAGGAGCTTCAGTAAAAGAATGTAGTGTTATTTTTTACAAGAGAAAATCCAGTATAATTGCACATTTACATACAAAAAAAGAGGCACAAAACAGCTTTTTTCCCTCTTTCCATAGAAGAGCTCTAAGTTGATAAGCAAACAGAATACTCAGTACAGCTGAAGGAATGTGGTAGAGCACCTACCCTCCCTACCTTCATAAGGTTACTAGGTACTTAAGGGAAAATAAATGCTACCAGGTACCAGCAATTGTAAGCAGTCAAAATTCACAGAGAAAGTTAACGTTCATTCAAGCTAACCCTAGACTTCTACTTAGTACAGTGTTACAACAATGTCTGACATTACTAATTATTTCATACAAGGAATACTGGAATATATATATTCCTAAGCATTAAAACCAAGTGAGTTTCGTGAGCAGACATCTTGGTATACTTGCGTCTTTAAGAGTCAAGCATCACCGTCAACCATTTTTGCTAACACTGACTTTCTTGGGCATTTTCTCCAAGTGCTTCCTAAGATGAAGTGTGTTTGTGTGGCTCTTACGTATCCTGTAAAAGTAGAAGTTCTTCCCCACAATGGGAGCAATGTTAAGTACTGGATAATAGAAATTATTTATATGTAACGTGGGGATGCCCCTACTACTTTCACCCCCCAAATTAGGAACTCAACCAAAAAGATCTATTCAAATACAATTCAAACTCACTTGTGTGGTTTTACCAGGAAACATGACTGAATGGTCAGCTGACGAAAGAAATGTTTGATTAGGAGAGGAAAACAGAGACAAAAAATAAAGTGCCTGTATTTCTCTCCAGTTTAGACCAGGGTCTACATTAAAATTGGACAGAAAATGGTGCTTATACGATCCAGCTTTTGGTTTGTGCCTTCATTCCCCTTTAGCTGCCTTTATCAGTGTCAGGAAAATAAGAATGACCATTCCAACGATGCCTCAGATCCACAGAAACGCACTTCATCCAAACCCAAACCATCCATGTCAATGGAAAACGTTCCAAAAATCAGTGAGCACATACATTCCTCTTTTTCCTTCCTCCAAAAAAACACACTGTATACCTTTCTACGTAAAGTTACCATAGCACAAAGCCCACCTCGTTTAAGACCACAGAGGTAAAATCCACCGAGGCATTGTTTTCAAGAGGCCAGATTTCCTGCTTCCATAGAGCTCTTCTCTAAGCCTGTGAAAAGCATTTTGAAGGGAAAGAGAAGTGAGTCTACCTACTGCTTAGTAGAGGTATATAAAGCTTATCATACCCTTTCCTAGAGGGCTTTCTCAGATTCCTACTTAAAACACACACATACACTTGATTAGACTATTGAACTACGCTTCTTGAAATTCCTAAAAATGAAAATAAATAAAGGAATGATGGCTACTTTTGCTTTATACAACCAAGGAACACATCTTAGACTTTAAATTTATCTCATTAGCAAAACTTTCTTTTCTCTTTGTTCTTATTTTAAAAGCAAAACCTTTTCTTTTTCAAGCTGCAATGGCATTGAAGCACAATAAAAGGCAAGAAAAGACCAAGGGAATTTAACCCTCCACAAAAGAATCCCTAAACCAACCCAAACAAAACAAAACCAGACACCACCAATTGCTTCTGCCTGCATGAACTGGTTTCCCACTTTTGCTTTAGTAAGGCAGTTCCGATGGCAAAGGCTGTATGCACTGTAGCAGTCTCTTCTTTTTAAATGCATGATCTATTTGCTTTTTTCACTGAAATAGAAAGGAGGGGACACCACACATTTATTCTTTTACTTCTTCTCCATGATCTTGTGATTCCCATTTACATTTTATCTTGCTCCAGTATTCTGGTGACACAGGAGACATGGGGTCGTGTTCCGAGCAGCAGAGGCGGCCTTCCAGTGCGGAGGGAACCAGGGCCCCCTTTTCATGATCTTTACAAAATGAATGTGGACAGAACTCACAGAAGGAAACAGCTGCACTGCTGCACTCATCGCACTGATGCCACGGACACTCCCATTTTCCTGAGTCGGGGAGAAGGGGAGGGAGAAGTGCCCAAGTTAGTGCCTGTCTTCATTACCTGTGAAAAACCCAAGTTCCTTCTTCTCTGATTGGAGATGGAATTCAACTGATTACAACTCCAAATTTCAACCAAACACAGATATGGGTGTAGTATTTAGGATGGATGTGAGCTACTGGCCAAAACCCAATGCCATAGGTACCAACTACCCACCTGTGGGAACAGTATACAAGAAACCAACCCTTGATGGCTGACAGGATATCCCAAATGTGTAAGGGGAAAGATTTTTTGCCAGCATATTTTTTTGCAATTGTTTGTTCTATTCAACATTTCCTGTTCCATGGCATGGAATATATTCTGAGTTACACATAGTTGGCAAAGACACAAGTTAGGGAAAGGGTCCTGAAGGTCCAGCTTACCATATGGTGGCTGAGTCAGGTTAAGGCATAGGAGGTGGTATGCTTTGGGACAGTCTTTTTTGTCACACATGACCAGCTCTCCACCATCTCCACATTGAAAACAGTAATCTTCATGCATCTGCTTTGGTTCTGTTTTGATCTTTCGTCTCTTCTGCTTTAACTTAGCATTTTTTGCCTTCTCTTCAGTTGTTGACGCACATGCCGACTGGCAGGAAAAAAAAAGATCATAGTTTCAAAGATCACAGACAGTGCATAAAGCTGGACACAGACAGAAAAACCATGCAACCTCACATTCATTTAAATTCATGTGGTGTACAATTACCTAAAAACATCAGGAGGCCTTATCCTGCAACAAATACTATAACAAAAATAAAGCTTTGTTTTCACTGACTTAAAAATTATTTTTTTTTTGAGATGGGGGCCTCGCTGTGTTCCCCAGGCTGGAGTGCAGTGTTGCAATCTTGGCTCGCTGCAGCCTTGACTTCAAGGGCTCAAGCATTCCTCTTGTCTCAGCCTCCCAAGTAGTTGGGACTACATGTGCATGCCATCATGCCTGGCTAATTTTTGTACTTTTTTTTTTTTAGAAACGGTCTTGCTATGTTGCCCAGGCTGGCCTCAAACTTCTGGGCTCAGATGATCCTCCTGCCTCAGCCTTTCATTGACCTTTTTTTTTTTTTTTTTTTAAGTTTCACTCTTGTTGCCCAGGCTGGAATGCAATGGCGCGATCATGGCTCACTGCAACCTCCGCCTCCCAGGTTTAAGTGATTATCCTGCCTCAGCCTCCCGAGCAGCTGAGATTACAAGCATGCACCACCATGCCCGGCTAATTTTGTATTTTTAGTAGAGATGGGGCTTCTCCATGTTGGTCAGGCTGGTTTCGAACTCCTGACCTCAGGTGATCCACCCACCTTGGCCTCCCAAAGTGCTGGGATTATAGGCGTGAGCCACTGCACCCGCCTTTTTTTTTTTTTTTTGAGACTGAGTCTCATTGTGTTGTCCAGGCTGGAGTGCAGTGGCGTGATCTTGGCTCACTGCAACCTTTGCTTCCCAGGTTCAAGCAATTCTCCTGCCTCAGTCTCATGAGTACTTGGGACTACAGGTACGTGCCACCACACCCGGCTAATCTTCTGTATATCAGTAGAAAGGGGGTTTCATTGTGTTGCCTAGGCTGGTCTCAAACTCCTAAGCTCAGGCAATCCACCTGCCTTGGCCTCCCAAAGTGCTGGGATTACAGGCATAAGCAACTGTGACTTCACTGACTTTTGAATAGGGTAGCTTTTTAATTTTAATTGCAGGGGTAGTGGTAAATCCAAGCAACTTTTAGACAACCTATTAATTTTTTCATTGTAATATCATTCACATACCACAAAATTCACCATTTTAAAGTGTATAATTCAGTGGCCTACAGTATTTTGTGGATTTTTTTAAAGTTTTAAATTAGTTTTTTGCTAATTTCATATTCAACCAGAAATATAAATACATTTTTTTCCCTTTTTTTCAGTAGAGATGGGGGTTCCACCATGTTGGCCACGCTGGTCTCGAACTCCTGACCTCAGGTGATCCACCCACCTCAGTCTCCCAAAGTGTTGGGATTATAGGTGTAAGCTACCGAGCCCAGCCTATAAATACATTTTCAGAACCTAACAGACCTTACTGATACAAGCTTCCTTGGAAAGTCACAGTCTAAATGTTTGGTAAGCCCAGCTTATGACCCACAAACTAATCCAGGTGCTCAAATTCCAGCAGGTTCCTGAGATGGTCATAAACAGCCTTCTTCAACAGCCCTTCTCCTTATCTGCTGTTGGCTGGGGGCGCTCCCCTGCAAGACTGACCTTTGGCCGCACTCCTAGAAATCCACTGCAGTTATCTGCCCCGCAGTGGCACGCCGTTCTGCCGTTGCCCAGGCAATCTAGGTTATAATTAAATGTTAACTCCATCCCTGAAACACAGGAGAAATAATTATTCATACTTGAGTCATGGGGAAGAGAAATGCTGTCATAGGCACACTCTCCTAGTGAAAAAAGAGACATCATTCTGGCATGAAGGCGTTTCCCTTCCCAGTGTTCTATCTCATTGATAACAGTGATGGTAAAAAAAAAAAAGAAAAGGAGAAAAACGGGAGGAAAACATGCTCACTCATGAACAATGACAGCAACACTACATGTCCTAAAGAGTCATGTCCTTTTCATAGAAGTGGTCCAAAACCAATGTGATAGGGTGTAACAATCTGCAATCTGTGCTCAGGAGAATAGGTTCTAGCTCAGTCTGCTTTTCTTTTTCTTTCTTTCTTTTTTTTTTTTTTTTGAGACGGAGTTTTGCTCCTGTCACCCAGGCTGGAGTGCAATGGCACGATCTCGGCTCACCGCAACCTCCGCCTCCTGGGTTCAGGCAATTCTCCTGCCTCAGCCTCCTGAGTAGCTGGGATTATAGGCACGCACCACCATGTCCAGCTGATTTTTTGTATTTTTAGTAGAGACGGGCTTTCACCATGTTGACCAGGATGGTCTCGATCTCTCGGCCTCTTTCTTTCTTTTTTTTGAGATGGAGTCTTGCTCTGTTAGCAGGCTGGAGAGCAGTGGTGCGATCCCGGCTCACTGCAACCTCTGCCTCCTGGGTTCAAGCAATTCTACTGCCTCGGCCTCCCAAGTATCTGACACTACAGGTGCCTGCCACCACGCCCAGCTAATTTTAAATTTTTTTAGTAGTGACCGGGTTTCACCATGTTGGCCAGGATGGTCTCGATCTCTTGACCTTTTGATCCACCCACCTCAGCCTCCCAAAGCTGAGATTACAGGTGTGAGCCACCGTGCCCGGCCAGCCTTCTTTTCTATAGCTAACTCATACTTGTTTCTAAATGAACAATATGACAATGGAATTGTGACAACACTATTTCCAGTAATTAATGCCTTATATTATGATCAACTAAAGATCCAAAAAGAAGGTTTACTGCATAGACAAAGATCCAGGGACTCAAACTAGGGCCTCCTAAGCTTTCTTTTAGCTGGGCTTGAACAATCCACAGTGGGTTCTAGAAACATAGTTTAAATCTGTTTTAGCTATAGCATTTCTCTTCTCACCTATTTTTCTACAAACTAAACAAAGGAGAAACCAAGTTTTATTGTCCAGATACTGGATGGGTAAGGAAAAATGAAGGCAGCATCTTTCGCTTCGGAGGCTTTGATGTCCAATTTGAAACAGAATGATCTTTCAAAATGAAAACAACAAAAAACACCAGCAACTAAGGAATCAACTGCTGTGAACACAAGCTAATTACTGTTAATATGTTTTAAAAAGAAAACAGCTAAAACATCTGGCTACACTGTACAGACAGCAGCTGACTTGGAGAATTCATTCAGCAGGACGGTGGACACAGAATCCTGTTAGGCCCACTCTTACATAAAAGTTCTCTGTAAGTTTCCTTTTGAGCATATAGATGTTTGCCTCTCATTGGCAGCTAACACTAAGTTCTAAATATAACCTTCCTCTTATTTGAATAAGTTTTCTAAATATAACCTTCGTCTTATTTGCATAAGTTCTTGGGCATCAAGCCTTGAAGAGCCATGTCCTGGCTCTAAAGGATCTTGTTTCTTCCTAGGGAGGTAACCATGGCTAACAAGTCACTTTTTTACCTGCAGGAATATCACAGAGAGCAAACAGTCCAACTCGAACATCTCCGTTCACTGTCCACTTTTGTGTTTCACAGTTAGGATTACAACTGTGGTTCATGAAGCGAGAATAATTTCCTTTTGGGCCGGCATCAATTATACGGTCCTTCAGAAAGAAAAGAAAGGTGCCTTTTACGTAAATTAAGTCTCTCCCAGAAACATCCAACTCAGTCAAGGATCACAGGCAGCAGCATTTTGCTACCAGCTGGCGTTTGACAACCGACAAATCAGGAAATGTAAGGCCGCCTGGGCAATTTACTAAGTTCTCTCCTTTATTTGATGACCTTCAAGTCAAAGTCAAGTAATTAGGATAAAGTGGGATTTAGTTGCTTTTTAAGTTTGCTTCTAGAAACAAATAGACCATGGAATAATGCTGTTTAGAAGATTAGTGGGCCAGAGGTTTAGGAACGGCATTTTCTGATTAGAGAGCTCAAAGTACTGATAACTACTCTGGTGTTCTGCTGTCAGCCCTCCTTTCCTGCTCCAAGCAGGATGCAAAACTAGTAGAGGAGGGGATATGTGAGAACTTATGCCAGAAAGAAAAAAGAAAATGGAGAAACAAAACCTGGAGATCTCGTTGATGGAGGGACACTGTTTGGATATATTCTCCAGTGGTTATCTATTTACTCTGTTTTTATTATATAAGTTCAAAATACATTTAAAAGCTGAATATTTAGGTTTCCTGAATTTAAACTCTAATACTCTTGATACGCTCCAGAGAACTGAGCCTCTTAAGTGCTGTCAAGAAGCCTAGAGGAGCTACTGGCAGGGAGGATAGGGTTGAAGGAGCCAGATCCCAGTAATCATAAAGAATGGCATTTTAACTGATGTTTATGAAAGTTGTAAAACTTTCAAACAATGAAATATCAGTTAAAATACTTTTAAGCTCTATTTCTTACTTTAATGACATTCTGAATTTCAGTTTTAGAGATGTGATAGCCTGGAACACAGGAAATATGGGTACTAGTCTTGGTTCTTAAAACTGTAACAAAATAGTCAACAAATCACTTATCATGGCTGGACATCAGTGTCTCATCCTCTGTAAATCAGAGAACTGATGAAAAAATTAACTGAGATAATGGATGTAATGTGTATCAAATAGGTCTTATGACTGTAGGGATTAAACTAGCAGTTTTACTGTCATTTTTTTTTTCATGCTGCTGATAAATACTGTCATTTTTCTTATGACAACACTCATTATTTTCCTCTTTCTTTCTTCTTTTTTTTTTTTTGAGATAGGGTCTTGCTCTGTTGCCCAAGCGGGAATGCAGTGGTACGATCACAGCTCACTACAGCCCTGACCTTCTGGGCTCAAGTGATCCTCCCACCTTGGCCTCCTGAGGCACTGGGACCACAGGCACATGCCACCATGCCTGGCTAACTTTATTTTTATTTTTTGTAGAGACAGGGTCTTCCTATGTCACACAGGCTGGTCTCAAACTCCTGGGCTCATGTGATCTCTTCTCAGCTTCCCAAAGTATTGGGAATACAGGCGTGAGCCACCATGCCCCACCAAAAAGTGTTAATATACAGAACAATTTGGAGTTTTGGCTACCACAGAACTTTAGTAATAACTTAGAATTAGAGAGTTGATTCTCTACTTCAGTAATAAAGAAACTGACGCCCAGGACATTTTTCACAGAGTTCAGACTAAATCCAGATATCCTAACCCTGCTCCTGGTTTTATTTTCACTCGGTGTGTTCTCACATGACATGTACAAGGCTTCAGTAATCATTCATTTTGTACTTTGGTGTAATTAGCATATTATAGTAGGCACTACACTAGCTACTGCAAATCCTTATGCTCTGCCTGAAGAAAAATCAAATTAAAAGAAACTGAGTTCAAATTAAGACAATGAAACAAAAACAAAAATCCCTTTTTCTTACAAAAAAAAAAGCAATTTTACCTTGGTAACAGTTAACATATAAAAATTAGTTACACTGTTCTCGTGGGCTCGCTTGATTCGCAATCTGCATTCTTCTTCATCAATTAATTCACCGACGTATTCATTTACAAATTCACCCTGGAGAGAAATGTGCAATATGTAACTTAAAATCAGTGTATTATACAAAGCATTGCTTAACAACACATGTATAACCCAAGATCTTCGAAGAGAACCCTGAAAATACAACTTCAACCTTAGAAAGAAATGGCTATTTATTCATGGGCATTCAAGTGGCATTATTTTTCTGGTATAAGTGCTTCATAAGGTGACAATCTGCTTGCCTTTTTGTGCTGACAATACTGTTTTTATAGCCCAAGTGACAACATGTGGTGTGTCGCTGGGTTTAGGGATAAAGCTAGCTCTAGCCTTTGAAGCTATATTATAACAGACTTTACTAGTTTGTGGCTATGCGGGTTTCAGGGTAAGACCTGGAAGAGATCTGAATCATAAACAAGTGAGCTCTGTTTCTGTTTTTAAGCTTCTTTTGAAGTAATTACTGACATTCAGAGGAAGTGGCAAAAATAGTCTATGGGAAATCTTGGTAACATTCACTCAGTTTCGCCCAATGGTAACATCTGACATAACTACAGTACAATATCAAAACCAGAAATCTGACTTGGTCTAATCCAGACTACCAAAATTATATGCATGCATTTGTGTGTGTATATAGTTCTATGCAGTTTTAGCAGGCAGAGAATCACGTAATCACCACTGCAATCAAGATACAGAACTGGTGCGTCACCACAGAGATTCATTGTGACACTCACTCCTTTATGATCACACCCTTCCTCCATCCTTCCTCCACCCATCCCATCCTAGCTCCTGGCAGTCACTCATCTGTTCTCCATCTCTAGAATTTTGTTATTTCAAGAATGTTTTATAATGGAATGATATAGTACAGAACCTTTTGAGATTGGCTTTAAAGAAAAAAACTCAGGCAAATTCCCTTGAGATCCACCCAGGGTACTGAGTGTATCAACAGCTTGTTCTTTTTCAGTCTCTGAGTCGTGTTCCACAGTGTGGATGTACCACTGCCATTTGTTTAGCCATTCACCATGGAAGAACATTTGGACTGTTCCCAGATTTTGGCTTTACAAATAAAGCTGCCATGAACATTCTGGTGAAAGTTTTCGTGGACATAGATTTTCGTCTTTCTGGATAAATGGCCAGGAGTGCGTCTGCTGCACCAAATGGTGAGCGTATGTTTCCTTATTAAGGAATCTGCCAAACTACTGTCCAGAGTTGCTGTCCTTTCGGATGCTCCCACCAGCAGTTCATGAAATCCACTTTCTCCATGTCCCTGCCTGCATCTGGGATTGCCACTATTTATCATTTTAGCTGTTCTAACAGGCATACAGTGATAACAGTGATAAGCTCCTTTTAAAATATTTGTACATTCAACATTTTAATTACATAACATTAACCTGTTCACTTCAGAAGTTTTGCTGATTCAATCTAGGTCAACATTCTCTATAAGGATTTGCCAGTCTTACTAATATAGTTTAGAGGAAAATAAATGTCTTGAAAACCAAAAATGAATTGGCTTATTTTATCAGATTTCTGTCCCATTCTTCCTCCCTCCCCCACCTCACAAATTTCCACTAGACTTTCTCACAGCTCTTAGTATTACAGAACTATTGGTAGTCGATATCTGAAGAGAAGTACTGCATCGCTTTTTCTGATTGGGGAAAATTGTTTAGAACATAAGCCAATGGTTTTAAAAATATTTAATCTTTTTCTATTGATAAACAAATATTACTGTATAATAAAGAGAAAAGAAATGAACGGTTAAACTAGAAGGGCCCGAGCTTCCCTGCCTCTTCCTTGGCAGCGTGGGGAGAATGAGTTGGGTGAGGAGCACCGGTTACCTTCACTGAGCTACATACCTTTTCAGCTGTAGAGCAGTCACCACCAGTGGTGACCTCTTGCTTTTTCTCTTTCCTTTTATCTACTGTATAAGCTATGACAAGGAATTCAGTTAGAAAAACAAAAACAGGCCAGGTGTGGCGGTTCACGCCTATAATCCTAGCACTTTAGGAGGCTGAGGCAGGAGCACTGCTTGAGTCAGGAGTTTGAGATCAGCCTGGGCAACACAGCGAGACCCCATCTCTACAAAAAATAAAAAGTATCAGCCAGGTATGGTGGTGCATGTCTGTGGTCCCAACTACTCGGGATGCTGAGGCAGGAGGATCACTTGAGCCCAAGAGTTCAAGGCTGCAGCGAGCTGTGACTACTGCACTAAAGCCTGGGTGACAGAGCAAGACTCTGTTTCAAGGGAAAAAAATAAAATTCATCTGTAACTGCAGCACCGTAAAGTTAAGTTCTTTCACTTTTTCCTTCCAGTCCTGTCTCACAAAGGACATGGACATTTTGCAACTATCAGCCTCAAATGGCTTTTCCTGTATCTAGTTTGGATTTTGTCATTGGCTGCTGAGCACCATTTTGCACTGTGATATGATACTGAAGGGTAGCAGAAGATTGTACTGCCGTCTTGGCTGCACCTACTGTTACTATACTTGATGATGTTAGGGCTAATTTTCTTTTTTTTTTTTTTTCCCCCTTTTTTATTTTTTTGAGATGAAGTCTTGCTTTGTCACCCAGGCTGGAATGCAATGGCATGATCTCTGCTCACTGCAACCTCTACTTCCACCGGTCAAGTAATTCTTCCGCCTCAGCCTCCCGAGTAGCTGTGATTACAGGCGCATGCCACCATGCCTGGCTAATTTAAAAATATATATTTTTAGTAGAGATGAGTTTCACCATGTTGGCCAGGCTGGTCTCAAACTCCTGACCTTATGATCTGCCCACCTTGGCCTCCCAAAGTGCTGGGATTACAGGCGTGAGCCACCACGCCTGGTCTTTTCTTTTTTTTAAAAGATGGGGTTTCACCATGTTGGTCAGGCTGGTCTTGAACTCCCGACCTTAGGTGATCTGCCCACCTTGGCCTCCCAAGTGCTTAGATTACAGGCGTGAGCCACCACACGCCTGGCCTTCTTTTTCTTTTTTGAGATGGAGTTTCACTCTTGTTGTCCAGGCTGGAGTGCAATGGTACAATCTTGGCTCACTGAAACCTCCACCTCCCAAGTTCAAGCGATTCTCCTGTCTCAGCCTCCCAAATTTTATATTTAGTAGAGATGGTGTTTCACCATGTTAGTCAAGCTACTCTCGATCTCCTGACCTCAAGTGATCCACCTGCCTTGGCCTCCCAAAGTGCTGGAATTAGTGAGCTACTCCACCTGGCTTAGGGCAAATTTTCCTTTTTTTTTTCTTTTTTTTTTTTTTTTTTTTGAGATGGAGTTTCGCTCTTGTTACCCAGGCTGGAGTGCAATGGCGCGATCTCGGCTCACCGCAACCTCCGCCTCCTGGGTTCAGGCAATTCTCCTGCCTCAGCCTCCTGAGTAGCTGGGACTACAGGCACGCGCCACCATGCCCAGCTAATGTTTTGTATTTTTAGTAGAGACGGGGTTTCACCATGTTGAGCAGGATGGTCTCGATCTCTTGACCTCGTGATCCACCCGCCTCGGCCTCCCAAAGTGCTGGGATAACAGGCTTGAGCCACCGCGCCCGGCTGGGGCAAATTTTCTTTAGTGGAAACTATAGAGGAGAATTTCAACCAAATCAACTCTACTACTTCTTTTTTCACACATTGGGGTTCAAGGTAAGATTTCATTTGAAGAAATAGTTTTGTGACTTTAAAAGCTTAATCATGATTTATTATGGTTTATACCAGGCATCCCCAAACTTTTTACACAGGGGGCCAGTTCACTGTCCCTCAGACCGTTGGAGGGCCGCCACATACTGTGCTCCTCTCACTGACCACCAATGAAAGAGGTGCCCTTTCCTGAAGTGCAGCGGGGGGCCAGATAAATGGCCTCAGGGGGCCACATGCGGCCCGCGGGCCGTAGTTTGGGGACGCCTGGTTTATACTTACTAGTCTATGAAAATGAGTAAATACAGAAAAATTAAGTGCTGTTATCAAATACGAGGAGAGCAAGTCTCAAACTTGTTATCACTGTAAATAAAGATGGAAATGTTTCAGATGTCCTAAAAGTGACAGATCTTTAGCCTCAAAGAGTTGCTTACTAGACTTAAAAACCATTAATTGCGAATTCAATTGTGAACAAAAAATTGTAACAAATTCAATAACTTAAAAAATGCTATAGATCTGTCCTTAAAAGACTGCAGCAAAACGGCTGTAACTGAGTATTTAACACCTTAAATTTTTTTCTGAGAAAAAAACAACTTCCTAACAAGAAGTCCCTAGTTTGACTGTCATACATTTTCAGGAATCTGTTCTATGTGGAAAGAAGGGGACTGACACACACATTCCATTTCATATTGGGCTTCTTTCCTGTAAATGCACCAAATAGCTTTTTTGTGTTGCTATGTCTTTATGATTACACTTTTCAATGATTGTATATTTCTAGCTATTTTGTAAAAGACCAATTGTCTTACATCAGCAATCCCTCAGGTGCTAAAGAGCAGGAAAATCAAGATTGTATTTTATTCTCTTGATTATATTATTAATGTTATCTTACAACACATTTTAGAATAAGCGCAACTACTATTAAAAGGTGTTAACACAATATTAAAGTGGATGGATTTCAGGATGGCCCCATGAACTCCTGTGCAATCATAGGCAAAAAATTCTATATATGATAACATGACACTGAATTTATATAAAACGTTTTACACTATACAATGATGTTTTAGATGTAGTTGGCCTTTGACCAAGCAGCCCAATTCACATATCAATACATCAGCAAATCCTGTTGGCTCTACCTTCAAAATGTCAGAAATCCAACCACTTCCCTCCTGGCTCAACTACAACCCCAGTGGTTCCACATCACCATCGTCTTTCTCCTGGGCGACTCTGATGGTCTCCCTTTCATCACTCTTTCCTTCGTAAGTTCTCCACAGCACAGCCACAGTTATCCTTTCAAAACCCAAATGTGGCACACAGACTCTCAGATGGCCCCCTGCGACACCTGGCTGCTGGTGTTCGTGCTGTTGTGTTGCCCCCTCCCCTGCTGAGTGTGAGCAGAACCTGTGATTAGCTTCTAACCAACAGAATATGGCGTGGGTGAGGGGGTGATTATGTGACTTTATGACCTAAGACTTTAGTGTCTATCTTCCTGTAGTGTCTCACCCCTGCTGGCTGTAAAGATGCAAGTGGCCATGCTGGGAATCCCATGTGGCAAGGAACCGTGGGAAGCCTCTGGAGGCTGAGAGCAGCTCCTGGCCAACAACAAAACAAACAAACAAACACACTCCAAAACAAAACAACTGGAGTATCTCAGCCCTATAGCTAGAGAATGGAGTTCTGCCAACAACAGTGCAAGCAGGGAAGCAGATCCTTCCCTAGTCCAGCCACAGAAGAGAACCCAGCCAGTCAGCACCTCGATTGCTACTTGGTGAGACCTTCAGTAGAGGACCAGTTAAGGATTGCCTGGATTCCTGACCCATATTAACTGAGAGATAATAAAATGTGTGTGGTGTCTTAATTTGCTAACTTTGTGGTAATATTTGTATGTGGCAACAGAAAACTAACAGATCAAATCAGATCAAGTCACTCCTTAGTAAAATCCTCGAGACACTCCCCATCCCATGGCGGATATGGCCAGTAAAGCCCCATCTTATCTAGCCACAGTGGCTGCCCTTCTCCCCACAGCTCCTCTCTCTCCTCTCCTGTGACTCCTCCCCAGGCACACAGCTTCCTTGCTGTTCCTGGAGCATGCTGCAGCCTTTACAGCTGTCTGCCTCCAGTCTGACTTGCTCTTCTCCTGCACACACCTGCATGGCTTTCTACTACACACAGGGCAAATGGCGCCTCCTCAGGCCTCCCTGAGCCAATCAATTGAAAAGGGCAATTCCTGTCACCAGCTAGCCCCTTTTCCAGCTTTATTTTTATTTACAGCAGTTAGCAGCACTCAGCATTATATATATGTTTATTATCTGTCTCCTCAAGCAGATCCTTTAAGGTAAGGGCTTCATGTGCCTTGTTGACTATTGTTTTCCAAGTGCCAAGAATAGTACCTGCCACATAGGAAGCAGCTTAATAAACATGTACCAAATAACTGAATTCACTTCAAGCAATCTGACCTACAGAAATAGGCGCACAGGGCCGGGCGCGGTGGCTCACGCCTGTAATCCCAGCACTTTGGGAGGCCAAGGCGGGTGGATCAAGAGGTCAAGAGGTCAAGAAATCGAGACCATCCTGGTCAACATAGTGAAACCCTGTCTCTACTAAAAATACAAAAAATTAGCTGGGCATGGTGGCACGTGCCTGTAATCCCAGCTACTCAGGAGGCTGAGGCAGGAGATTTGCCTGAACCCAGGAGGCGGAGGTTGCGGTGAGCCGAGATCGCGCCATTGCACTCCAGCCGCGGTAACAAGAGCGAAACTCCGTCTCAAAAAAAAAAAAGAAAAAGAAAAAGGTACACAAAGGTAGATGACCAAGAACATTCATTATGAAATTTAAAAATATTTATTTATTTATTGAGAAATAGGTTAAATTATTTATTTATTGGGAAATAGGTTAAATTATTTATTTACTTACTGGGAAACAGGTTAAATAAATTTTACTATGATTGAAATGAGACTGTTACAAAGAATGAAGTAAAATCTATATGTACTGCCACAAATGTATTTATGATACAGTGTGTGAATAGGGAGAAAATGTCTGATTATATTTATGGTTAGAAAACACTAAAAAAAAAACAACTCTGTATTTTTATATATGTTTGTTTATAACTACATAGAAAAAGTTCTACAAGATTACCCACTATTAACAATGGTTATCTTTGATGAGGAAATGAGGAACTGAAGGGATGAAGGAAGAATTTCACTCTGCTATCTTTTTTGTATTGTATTGTATGACTTTTCTTTACTACATTAGATGGTATTTTTAAATCACAAAGCTGATTTTTTTTTTAAAGGTAGAAAAATGTCAAGAGTAATTTTAGTTTGGACACAGTGGCTCATGCCTATAATTCCTGCACTTTGGGAGGCCAAGGCAGAAGAATCACTTGAGTCCAAGAGTTTGAGACTAGCCTGGGCAATGTAGTGAGACCCTCCCCAGCTACTTTGGATGCTGAAGTGGGAGGATACCTTGAGCCCAGGAGTTCAAGGCTTGAGTGAGCTGTTAACACACCACTGTACTCCAGCATGGGTAACAGAATTGGGGCCCTGTCACTAAAACAATAAAAAGACAAGTAAAAACTGTTCCACATAGAAATTACCAGTGTTCCCTCTCTCCTCCTTTTTTTTTTTTTTTTTTTTCTTTTGGAGACAGAGTTTTGCTCTTGCTGCCCAGGCCGGAGTGCAATGGCATAATCTCGGCTTACTGCAACCTTCACTTTCAAGCAATTCTCCTGCCTCGGCTTCCCGAATAGCTGGAATTATAGCTGCCCGCCACCACGCCCAGCTAATTTTTTGTATTTGTAGTAGAGATGGGGTTTCACCATGTTGGCCAGGCTGGTCTTGAACTCCTAACATCAGGTGACCCGACTGCCTTGACCTCCCAAGATGCTTGGGTTACAGGCGTGAGCCACGGCGCCTGGCCCCCTCTCTCCTTTTTATGACGAGCCACTGGTCAAATACTCAGAGTTTAAGTACATTTTATCACTGTCTTCTTCCTACCATTCCTCTCTGCTCAAGAAGTACCAAACTCTCAACATGGGAAGTTCTAAAATTTTACCATAAATCCCTGTTATTTTATCCCTAGAACTACACCCTATTGAAGCATTCCTAAAAGGCTCAGGTTCTGGTCTCTTCTGCGCTCCACAACCCCATCCCATGCTATCTTCTTTTTTTTTTTTTTTTTTTTTTTGAGACGGAGTTTCGCTCTTGTTACCCAGGCTGGAGTGCAATGGCGCGATCTCGGCTCACCGCAACCTCCGCCTCCTGGGTTCAGGCAATTCTCCTGCCTCAGCCTCCCGAGTAGCTGAGATTACAGGCACGTGCCACCATGCCCAGCTAATTTTTTGTATTTTTAGTAGAGACAGGGTTTCACTATGTTGACCGCGATGGTCTTGATCTCTCGACCTCGTGATCCACCCGCCTCAGCCTCCCAAAGTGCTGGGATTACAGGCTTGAGCCACCGTGCCCGGCCTTTTTTTTTTTTTTTTTTTTTTGCATTAGGTAATCCGTGCTACCTTCTTAATGCTCCTTTTGGTCCTGAGGCCCCAGCCTCTCCGCTCTGTTTTGATGATCTCTGCATCAGGGTACAGCCTCTTTGTAAAGCACTGGTTCTGACAACGATCTCCAGCCGGGCACACCTGCGGGTGGCATTCGTACTGCAACATTCTGTTCAGACACTCTGATTCCAAGCCACAAGGGTTTTCATCAGCTGGCTTGCAGTTACAGCGGGGAATCTCTGACAGGTCAGCAACCTGGATCTGCACCTTTCCTATTACTTTGTTAGCCTAGAAAACAAAATCACAAACAAGAGGGAGGCAGCAGGTAAGTCATCTGGCAACATGAACAGGAACATCTAAAACATCCACGCTACTACCTCGTGGTGCGACTCCAAGAAAGGCTCTTTATCTTTCAACATGAATAAGCTGAGATTAATAACCATCTCTTGCCATTTAGTTGACAAAAATAACAAAGTCTCATGAATTTTCACGTATTTATCCTGGGTATTTCTACTTTCATTAGACGGAAATTTCATAACTGAAAACAAGAGAAAATACGCTTGTCTGTGGGTTCTCTGAAATAAAGGGAGTAAACACCTATGTTCTCATTCGGTGGCAGGGTAACCTGGTAGAACAAGAACAGGATTTCACAGCAATAATAGCTATGGCTCCCATCTGATGCTTCCAACAGGAGCTGTGTTTTACAGAAGACTGACAATTAGCGAAAGTTTGCACAAGTCACAAAGGGTCTTTAACTACTAAAAGAGCAATGCATTTTGTCTCATCTATTAAATACCAATGTTTGCATAATAAAGACTTTCTTATTTTATTTGGCAGCCCCAGGCCAGAGATAAAGACTTACTTTGATGTGTTTGTAGGGAGGGGGTTTTCTTGAGTTTTTTTCAATCTCTAGGGCTTCTTTACTTTCTCTTTGTGCTTTCAATTCCTGGAAACGTTTTGCAGCTTCTTCCAGTGCTGCCAATAAGACAATGCAAAGTATGTAAATACCAAAAACCAAACGAAAATTGATGGGATAGTAGTTTTACACTGCCTTCCCAATGCTTGCATCTGGCCTGAGATTTTCTTTTAAAAATTATTTTCTGGAAGTTACTGTTTACCACCAGGATGGGGTAACAATGAAATAGGATATAACTCACTGAACACTATGCTCTGTGCATGCTGCTGCCTCAGGGAAGAGGCTCCACTTCAATGATCAGAGGTCTCCAAGTGACCCTAAGAGCAGCTTTTTGCCTTGTACTAGATTTAAATTCATTTTACTCTTACCAGAAAGCCAAACTTGCTGGCAAATTTTACAATTGCAAAAGCAGTTATAAGGCTTTTCATGGAAGTCTTTAGTTGTGGCAAAGGAACTTCACTTGATTAAAAAGATTATTCTCAGGCTGAGTTTGGTGGCTCCTAGCTGTAACCCCAGCACTTTGGAAGGCTGAGGCGGGCAGATCGCTTGAACCCAGGAGTTCAAGACCAGCCTGGTCAACATGGTGAAACCCTGTCTCTATAAAAAATACAAAAGTTAGCCAGGCATGATGGCAGGGACCTGTAGCCCAGCTACTTGGGAGGCTGAGGCAAGAGGATTAGTTTACCCTAAAGTTCAAGGGTGCAGTGAGCTGTGATCGTGCCACTGCATTCCAGCCTGGACAACAGATTGAGACCTTGACTTAAAAAAAAAAAAAAAGATTATTCCTAGAATAATCTGTGTTTATAAAGGATCACTGAAAAAATTCCTTTCAAATACACAGCACAGTCTACAATATTGAAATGTATTTCAAACCTGGTTCTAATGTGACTGGAAGCTTATGGACAGAGGATCATAATGCCTAGTGAAAATTCTCTAAAACTGGAAAAGAGAGGTGAGAAGATGCTGAGAAACCAACGCTGAAGTTGTAGTTATGAGTCACTGTAAACATCATCCAGCTTACCTTTTTTGAAGGTCTTGTTAATACTAGTCTGCCCCTCAGCAAAGCTTTTGTCTCCTTCAACATAAGGGAACACTCTGCCCTGGTGTACCCAGTAGTAGTCATGAGAACCAAAGAAGAACACAGGGAAGTCTCCCAAGTCATGTTTAAGGCCCTGGATGTTCAGTGGCACAGACCTGGGGTTGCAGATCTCTGCTGGCCACCATCTGAAAACAAAAGCAATTTTAGATCAAGAAGGCAATAAAGAAATCACACTATTTACAAGGTTGGCAGAAGGGAAAAAAGGTTTTGTATTTTGCGATTTTCATTCAGATTCTAAGAATATAAAATGTCACATATCATTAAAAAAATTAACAAATTAGCCGGGCGCGGTGGCTCAAGCCTGTAATCCCAGCACTTTGGGAGGCCGAGGCGGGTGGATCACGAGGTCGAGAGATCGAGACCATCCTGGTCAACATGGTGAAACCCCGTCTCTACTAAAAATACAAAACATTAGCTGGGCATGGTGGCACGTGCCTGTAATCCCAGCTACTCAGGAGGCTGAGGCAGGAGAATTGCTTGAACCCAGGAGGCAGAGGTTGCGGTGAGCCGAGATCGCGCCATTGCACTCCAGCCTGGGTAACAAGAGCGAAACTCCGTCTCAAAAAAAAAAAAAAAATTAACAAATTAATTAATGAAATAGTGCACACAGACAAAAGAAATTAGGCCTTAAACATCTGATCTACTTTCTTGTAAAAATTATTTCGTATTTATAAAATACATATCATGAAAATATGTTCTAAAATGTAATAATAAAATAATACTGAACCTACTACCCAATGATATTCCAAACCTAATTTCAATCCTAGAAAAGTTACACTTCGATGGGTGGGGTTAAAAAAAAAAAGAAAAGTCATGTTTCACCCGAAACTTAATATTAAGATTATCCTCCAAGGTATAGCAGTTGATTTCTAGTAGTCAGTGGAATCATTCTGAGAATAAACTGACGCTGTAGTAAAGAATGACCACTCCCATTCAAATCAGCATTCAGTCTCTAGTCACCTCTCGGTCAAATGTACTAGGTTTTGTATCAGTTTGTATTTCAGAATTTAATTCATCTTAGATCATAATAGACATGGAACAGAGGACAGAATGAAAATATAACTGTTTGAGGCTATGATAACTGAATACTAGAGCAGTCACTAAATGAAACTACCTGTGAGGAAATCTGATAGTTTCTAGCAAGCAGATAAATCAGGAACTGTATGATGAAGCTAACAGTCAGAAAATGAGGCCAACCTCATGGGCTTTTGTAGTAAATATACATAGACTTACTTTTTTTAATCTCTTAGATATGCCTAATAAAACAATTTTTAACACATAACTGTATTACTTAGAAGATACATGATGACATGATTGCACTCCCATATTTATATTACAGAACTTGGTAAGTGTCACCCGAAAGGTACCATGCTGTTCATCTAAGAATTAAAAACACGGATAAGAATCCATGTTCAAATTGTAAACCAAACAAAAACCACATTTTCTGTGATCATTATGGTTCATTCTCAGGGCAGGCTCTATTTATTTCTAAACCATTTTAAAGGAATTAAATATGTATACAATTACTGCCCTCACTAACATCAGTTAGGAAGAGGCAAACATTCTGCCAGGGTTTGTTCCAGGTCCTCATATGTTCCCCCATGAAGCAACACATTGGAGTAACTAGTTATTGAAAATAAACAGCTTCATGCAGCCCACTGGGCCTGACTGGAAATAAATACATTAAGAATTAGTTCATGGGCCGGGTGCAGTGGTTGATGCCTGTAATCCCAGCACTTTGGGAGGCCGAGGCAGGCAGATCACCTGAGGTCGGGAGTTCAAGACCAGCCTGACGAACATGGAGAAACCCTGTCTGTATCAAAAATACAAAATTAGCTGGGCATGGTGGCGCATGCCTACAATCTGAGCTACTTGGGAAGCTGAGGCTGGAGAATCGATTGAACCCGGGAGGCAGAAGTTGCGGTGAGCTGAGATTGTGCCACTGCATTCTAGCCTGGGCAACGAGAGTGAAATTCAGTCTCAAAAATAAAAATAAAAATAAAAGAATTAGTTCATGGATGGAAGTTTTTCCAAAACATAAAGAAGAATCTGACCTAGATATAAAATCTCACAGGACTGTGAACTTAATTGAAGCACTGTTTCGGTTTTTTTAAAAAAATGTAATTAAAATTTAAGTATTAAAATAAGTCAAAGATATTTTCATATTCATAACTTTTAAAAAATTACTCTGAAGTTTATTTGAAGATCTGAAGGCTTCTTACATTGTTTTAGATATTTCTTATCTAGGAAAGTCTTAAATGTATGAATTTTCAAACTGTGCACCCTTCTCCACACCAGAAAGATAAATGTTTTTCAATTATGAAAGCAGCATAAGGTTCTTTTAAAAATTAAAACAATCCAGAAATGTATAAGAGAAAAGTGAAAATGTTTCTCCTTGTAATCTCATCCTTGACACTATTAAGATTAGACGTATTTCTTTCCAGGTATTAAAAACACATATATCAGGCCTGTAATCCCAGCAATTTAGTAGGCTGTGTCAGGCGGATCACTTTGAAGTCAGGAGTTGAAGACCAGCCTGGCAACATGGTGAAACACCATCTCTACTAAAAATTCAAAGATTAGCTGGGCATCATGGCATGTGTCTGTAATCCCAGCTACTTGGGAGGCTGAGACAGGAGAATCTCTTGAATCTGAGAGGTGGAGGTTGCAGTGAGCTGAGATCATGTCACTGCACTGCAGCCTGGGTGACACAGCAAGACTCATCTCAAAACACACACACACACACACACACACACACACACACACACACCCCGAAAACAACGAGGTATGTACATCTACAATTTAAAAAAATGTATTAACACATTATGTATCATGGATGGCTTTTCATGTTACTGTATAGACCTGCATTATCCTTGTATTGGCTTCACAGTATTCTACAACATGGATACACTATGATTATCTGACAAATCCTCTACTATTTGGATTATTTAAATATTTGTGATTGAAATAATACTGCAATAAATACCCTTATAAACATATTTTTGCCTGATTACTCATTTTTTTCTTTAAATAAATTTATTTCAGTGGAAGTGCTGAGTCAAAGGGTATACACAGTTACAATTTTGATATGTGATGTCCAACTGCCCCAGGGGAAGAAGTGGTTTAACTCTCCATGCCCTTACTGGCCACAACATTACTAATCTTCTAAATCTTTGCCAATCTGTTAATTGGGAAAAAAAAAAACTTCTCTGTATTAATGTGCATTTATTGCTGGTGAGGCTGAGCATTTTCCCATCTTTATTTCCTATTTACTATCTTTTACAAATTGGCTTTCTCTCTGTGCCCCTTTTTCTAATAAAGTTTTTGGGTTTTCTTATTGAATGTAGAAAAGCGAGTATCTTCCTCCAGTTTGACAGTAACCTTTTAACATTTTATATCTTTTGCGAGAAAGTATAAAATTATTTATGTATTCAAATTGTCAATTTTAAAAAAGAACTTAGAGGGTTTTTGTTGTATATTGAAAAATAAGGGGAGGCCAGGCTTGGTGGTTTACACCTGTAATCCCAGCCCTTTGGGAGGCTAAGGCTGGCAGATCAGGAGGTCAGGAGTTCAAGACCAGCCTGGTCAACATGGTAAAACCCTGTCTCTACCAAAAATACAAAAATTAGCCAGGCGTGATGGTGCACGCCTGTATCCCAGCTACTTGGAAGGCTTAAGCGAGAGAATTGCTTGAACCCGGGAGGCAGAAGGTCGCAGTAAGCTGAGATCACGCCACTGCATTCCAGGCTGGGATAGAGTGAGATTCTGTCTCAAAAAAACCAACCAAAACAACAACAAAAAAGCCCCACAAAAGCAAGAAAAATAGGGGGAGGTTTGATCTTTTTATCTTAATACCCCAGATGGCAGCTAAAAATGAAGTTCTAAAATTTAAATAGGTAAACATGTAGCATATTTAAAAGAGAGAGAACAGACTGGGTGTGGTGGCTCACGCCTGTAATCCTAACATTTTGGTAGGCCAAGGCGGGCAGATCACGAGGTCAAGAGATGAAGACCATCCTGGCCAACATGGTGAAACCCCATCTCTACTAAAAATACAAAAATAAAAAAAAAACATGCCTAGTTCCAGCTACTCAGGAGGTTGAGGCAGGAGAATCGCTTGAACCTGGGAGGCAGAAGTTGCGGTGAGCCAAGATAATGCCACTGCATTCCAGCCTGGTGAGAGCTACACTCTGTCTCAAAAAAAAAAAAAAAAAAAAAAAAAAATGGAGGAGGGGTGTGGGGAGAGAACATAGCTCTTGCTAAAAGAATTAAAACATGTTTGAAATTTTCTAGAAATATATTTTACAGCCAGATGTGTGGTAGCTCACACCTGTAATCCCAGCACTTAGGGAGGCTGAGGCGGGTGGATCAGCTGAGATCAGGAGTTGGAGGCGAGCCTGGCCAACATAGATGAAACCCGTCCATACTAAAAATACAAAAAGTAGTCAGGCGTGATATCAGGCACCTGTAATCCCAGCTACTTGGGATGCTGAGGCAGGAGAATCGCTTGAACCTGGGAGGTGGAGGTTGCAGGTGAGCCAAGATCACTCCAGCTTGGATGACAGAGCTGGCCTCTGTCTCAACAAGCAAACCAAGAAATATATTTTACCTAGGATTCTAACTGAAAAGCAGGACTCTATTGTGCTTTTTTTTTTTTTTTTTTTTTTTGAGACGGAGTTTCACTCTTGTTATCCAGGCTGGAGTGCAATGGCGCGATCTTGGCTCACTGCAACCTCCGTCTCCTGGGCTCAAGCAATTCTCCTGCCTCAGCCTCCCGAGTAGCTGGGACTACAGACGTGCACTACCATGCCCAGCTAATTTTTGTATTTTTAGTAGAGATGGGGTTTCACCATGTTGACCAGGATGGTCTCGATCTCTTGACCTCGTGATCCACCCGCCTCGGCCTCCGAAAGTGCTGGGATTATAGGCTTGAGCCACCGCACCCGGCCCCTATTGTGCTATCTTGAAAAGTATCTATTTTCTTAGTAAAATGATAAATATATGCCTCAAAATGTAGAGTTTTCAAGTTTTTTTTTTTTGAGACTGGGTCTTGCACTGTTGCCCAGCCTGCAGTACAGTGGCACAATCATGGCTCACTGCAGCCTTAACCTCCTGGGCTCCAGCAATCCTCCAGACTCAGTCTACCGAACAGCTAGGATGCTACGACACCTGGCACACCACTATGCCCAGCTAATATTTATATATTGTGTAGAGATAGGGTTTTGTCATATTGCCCAAGCTGGTCTTGAACTCCTCAGCTCAAGCAAATTACCCACTCCAGCCTCCTACAGTGCTAGGATTACAGGCATGAACCACTGTACCTGGCCAAACTGTATCAGTACACCTGTTCAGTGAAGGCTCGTTAAAACCCTTAAAGGAGAAAGTATTATTAAAATAATGGTATTCATATACTTCCTGCTTCATTCCCTTAAGCCTCTTAATGGAATAATCTCCCTTAAATTCTAAAATGTTTTCTCTTTACAGATGGTTTAGGGCTTTCAGCTAGAACAAAATGGACCAGATTCAGGGGCAAAGAGCTATTTTGGCCAGAATACAAACTTGATTTTATCAGAAATAAGAAATCAACATATATCTAACTAAGACACAAAGAAAATATCATCTCAGGCCAAGTGTGGTGGCTCATTCCCATAATCCTAGCACTTTGGGAGGCTGAGGCAGGAGGATCACTTGAGCCTAGGAGTTTGAGACCAGCCTGGGCAATATAGTGAGACCACCCCCCATCTCACTATATTTATTCAATTTAAATAAAATTTAAAGTTTTTTTGAAAAAAGTTATCTCCACTGTCCACATAAGACCTTTTATTTCAAAATCTAGTAGTACATAGTCCATTAGTATAAAACAACTTTCAGAACTTAAAAACAAACATTGGTGGGCATGGTGGCTCACGCCTATAATCTCAGCATTTTGGGAGGCTGAGGTGGACAGAGCTTGACTCATGAGTTTGAGACCAGACTGGGCAATATGGCAAAACATCATCTCTACTAAAAATACAAAAAGCTTGCCAGGCATGGTGGTGTATACTTGTAATCCCAGCTACTCTGGAGACTGAGGTGGGAGGATGGCTTGAGTCAGCAGGTGGAGGGTGCAGTGAGCCGAGATCACACCACTGCACTCCAGCCTTGGCTCAAACAAACAAACAAACAAACAACAGTCAACCCACCAATGCCAAAGAAAAATAAAACAAAAATCAATAATGAATTAGGAACATAATCTTCCCAACCCCTTAAGAACCCAAACTCAAACATGGTGCTTTTCTTTCTTTTTTAAGGAAGTAGGTCCATGCTGTCTACCTAATCTAAGTCCAAGTCACTCTGCATCCAGAGTATGAAACTGGTCTGCACAATGACTAAATACTTCCTCTTTGTCCTTGGAAAAACTTGCCTGTAATTTCCCAATTTGACCCAAACAATCTGCTTGTAATGTAGTTTCTTGCCAGCTTTACAGTCATTACAATTCCAGCAGCCTTCTGGCATTTCTATGCTCAGACATTCCGGGTGGAAGGAAGCTGGGCACGATTCACAGCAGAGCAATCTTCCACCTTGAAACAAATAAACAGTCTTAATAACTGAGAAAAGAGGAGAGAGAAAAAGAAAGAAAAAGGAGAAAGTTACCTTTTCTGCACATTAAATTTGATTCAAATTGGGGAGAAATAACAAAGGAACTGAATCATATCTACAGTGATGGAATAAAATAGCAAACAAACGTATTTAGCTACTTTTCAGGGTTTCAGTGGCCAGAAACTCAGAGCTTCTGAGTAGTACCAAAAGCGCATATGTACTCTTTACTCTTTTAAACTATGGGATATTGAGGTATCAGTTTAGAAGCTAAACTAACATATAACCAAATTGATGCATAAAATCTTTGACTAAGTAGATTTGATAGTAGGTTTTTCAAACATGTAAGTAGCAACTTTCTTTTCTCCTTCAGAGGTAAGAAAGCAAGTCATCACTGTATTTTAATCCAGTGCCACAGTTAACTAAATCCCTTTACAATATAATTAGCAATAAAGAAAACAGCCAATGGATTGATCAGTACTTTTCTCTTTCCATAAAGAAAAAGCAAAAGGAACACAGAATTTCAAATTGGTGTTTATGTTATCATTACCTTTTGATGAAGATATACAGGCTATACAGCAGTGGTTTGCAATTTTTTCATCACCAAGGATCCCCTTTTCCCTCCTCATGAACCCACATGACTTCAAATATTTTATCAACAACCAGAACACCTGTGTGTGTGTGTGTGTGTGTGTGTGTGTGTATGTGTATATATTCTCTCTATATAGAGATTATATTTTGAGACAGGCTCTCACTATCTTGCCCAGGCTGGTCTTGAACTCTTGGCCTCAAGCAATCCTCCTGCCTCAGCCTCCCAAAGTGCTGGGATTACAGGTGTGAGCCACCATGCCCGGCCAAAATCTGCATTTTAAAAGTAACAATTTCTCCAATTTTTATTAGCCAAAGAAATAAAAAACTGCCAGTCAGAGATTCTGATTCCAATAACAAAACTAGTATTATCACATTAAATTGTTAAATAGCCAAATTTTAAAAACTCATGCAGGCCGAGCGCGGTGGCTCACGCCTGTAATCCTAGCACTTTGGGAGGCCGAGGCAGGTGGATCACGAGGTCAAGAGATCAAGACCATCCTGGCCAACACAGCGAAACCCCATCTCTACTAAAATATAAAATATTGGCTGGGCATGGTGGTGCGCGTCTGTAGTCCCAGCTACCCGGGAGGCTGAGGCAGGAGAATTGCTTGAACCCAGGAGGTGGAGGTTGCAGTGAGCGGAGATCGCGCCACTGCACTGCAGCCTGGTGCGTGGTGACAGAACAAGACTCTGTCTCAAAACAAACAAACAAACAAACAAAAAAAACAACTCATGCACCCTGATTCTGTACAAATGTGTAATTCTGTTAGATTTTCTGAAATATCAAACACAGTTCAAAAATTTTGTTTACATAAATCTTTTCTGACTTTATATTGAGAACCACTGCTTTATAGCATAAAATTAAGCAGTTATCAGTATAGAATGAAGTATCATATGCAAGGAGCTCCCTACAAGTTCCCTATCAAAACTGTTTCCTTTTAGATACACAAAATACTCTCTGGATTGAGACCAAAACAGGTGCGGCAAAGAAAATAGTTTGAAACGCTAAGAAATACGAAATTCTGGGAAGAAATTAGGTATTTCTAACATGTTTTTAATACGTGACAGAGAATGTGGTTAACCACTGAAGACAAAATATAATAAAGACATTTACAGCAAAAAATGGATCTTTTCATTGGAAAATCAGGTCTATAACCCATGAGTGCACCAAGATTTAAAGTCTCATAAGCAGGCCGGGCACGGTGGCTCAAGCCTGTAATCCCAGCACTTTGGGAGGCCGAGACGGGTGGATCACGAGGTCAAAAGATCGAGACCATCCTGGTCAACATGGTGAAACCCCATCTCTACTAAAAATACAAAAAATTAGCTGGGCATGGTGGTGCGTGCCTGTAATCCCAGCTACTCAGGAGGCTGAGGCAGGAGAATTGCCTGAACCCAGGAGGCGGAGGTTGCAGTGAGCCGAGATCACACCATTGCACTCCAGCCTCGGTAACAAGAGCGAAACTCCGTCTCAAAAAAAAAAAAAAAAAAAAAGTTTCATAAGCAAAAAGGTAAGAGCCCTCTATACAACTTTATCAAATCACATGCTGCAACCTTCTGAGGGCTTGCTACCAATTTTCCAGAAAATCTTGTCTTCCTATATTTTCAAACTTCTGATTAACATAAAACCAAAAAGAAAATCCATATACAACCCACGATGAATTAAATTGCTATATTTCCTCTGCTTAAAAGCTTTTACTTCAATCATCAGGATTTTTTTTTCCCTTGGATTACATCTCAATATGGATTAACTGGTTCAATTCACCAACCTAGAGATCAGATGCTCAAGTGCTCTAAACTTAGGTAGGGAATTCTTCTATAAATTTAAAGTAAAATGAGGTTATTCAGTTTTTTCTTGCTTTTGTCAGCATTTTCGCAAGCAGAGATTATTCATTTTTTTGCATCAGAAAGGAATGACCAGTAGGAAGAAAAGTCTGCAAACAGCTTTAGAGGACATGTGATTATTAGCGCTGATGTAGAAAAGTCAGGCCGGCCATTTTTAACATTATGGAATATTTCTTAATTTTGAGTCTTATTTCAGAGGAAATACAGAGCCAGAATCATCAGAGAAAAATCAACATGATAAAAATGTTTAAAATACACAAGGGAAATAAAAATAAGTAAATAAAAATATGAATGGTCCACCTTGGTACTATGCAAGAAAACTAGGATGCAAGAGAAGGAAGATGTGGTTCAAGCTAGGCAAACAGAGGGCTCAAAATAATTTCAGTTCATGGCAAAGTTAATACTGAGTACTGAAAATAAAGTAAGCAACAACTGAATTAATCTAATTTTATACAGGTACCAGTAGGAAAATAAAGCATTTCCCAAAATGTCTCAGGCAGAATAACTATGGAGTAAGTCAAACGTATGTTCATTTTATGTTTTGGAAGTATCATTAATAAGGTGATAATAATCTGGGGAAAAAAACAAAAAAGCCAATACTCTCATCAATACTTCTAATATGTTCAATCCACCTTGCTTAGTTGTCCTTTCTTTTAGTCATGGGTTGCCACTTCAGATGTCTGACAAACAGCAAAGATACATCAAACAGGCAACACAACTTTTTCAAAAGCCCATTTCAAATACACCTTGTGTGTGTGTGTGTATGTACTTAGTTACAAGTGAAGTTTTCTTTAAAGATTCTGAACCTGGCCACAGATCATAATGGGAAGGTATATAGGAAAAGGCCCTCACCTTTCAAGCTCATTTATTTTTCCCTGTGGGATAATAACTCCCCAAATAATACATCTTTGTTAAATCATTTTTATAACAGGTAGGTTATGGAAAACTAAACATAATATAAAGTTTTCTTCCATAGGTTAAATTAACTGGGAGAACAGAAATACACATTTAGCTCTTGGTACTGTATGGATAATTATCCATCAACAATTCAGCTGGGCTACCTTCCAGCATCCAGTATTAGGGGTATTCTCCCCCGTCAGCTTCCCACCAATATTTCCTAAGGGAAGGGCAACCAGTTTTCATACCATCTTAACCAAACATTTAAGAAGCACAATGACAGAATGGATTCTAAAAGCAACCTTTTAAGTATCAGTATCTTAGTTTCCTTCTTTTAATAACCTACCTTGTTATTTAGTTGAAAGTTAGTAACCAATTATAACCTATCTTTTCTATTCCAACTTGAATGATAGTTTCACACCAGGAAAAAGAGAAAGAACATTTAGAATATGATTCTATATTTATACTGACCAAAATCCTAGTCTTCCTATTTTAATAACTTATAAATATGGAATGTGTGAAAATTTATTCAAGGAAAGAATAAGTAAAAATTTGCAATAATGGAATTATTTTAAGCCCTTTTTAATAATTATGCAGCCATATGAAGACACAGTCACAACCACCAAGGCAGAATTTACCAAAAGCAACAGATGGTGCTTGACAGGCATACGTTTCCCCCCTACATTGAAAGAGAAAAAAATAGGAAATGCAAAAATAAAAGCAAGAGAAACTATTTTGATTATTACCTTTCTCACATTTCTTTTTGGAAGCTGACGAAGAAGGAATCATAGGTAATTTCATCAACTCAGCACGATTTGATTCATTCAGTAGGTAGTGGGACTTATAGGCATATGAACTGAACATGGGGTCTGAATGGTCCTGAACTATCAGCCCTATACGAAACAAACAGAAAGAGATGAGCTGCAATGAAACTACCCATGATTCCATGAGGAAAAAATAAACCAACACCTATTATGTATGCTTCAAAGTTGGGGTGGGGAGGGTGAAAATGAGAATATGAAGAAAAAAGAAAGATCTGACAGAAAGGTTTTCTACAGTTTTCAAAGGGAGTCTGAACTACTCAATTCCTTATCCCTATATTATAGAAACCTATATACTGCAGAAGAAAACTTCAAATAATTTGAAGATATAAACAACACTTGACATCATACTGAAAACCCCTTAAGAAAAACAAAGCTACATTGCTGCATATTTGGATGTACAAGGACAACAACCCAAAGAACGACATGATATTATATATCACGTAATGAGACAGAAATCAGAATCATTTACATAATGTAAATAGACCCTATCTACCTTCAATATATCAATTAGCGCTTTAAGGCAGAATGGAGTCTCTCCTTTTCTCTATTCACATCTTCAGACACACTCAAGGAAATCCTAACTTTCTCTGCCAGATAATGAAACTCGTCTCTATCAATATGGATGTTTTATTTCATTTATATTGTGTGTGTATACACACAACAAACACACACACACACACACACACACACACACACACACACACACACACATTTTTGAGACAGCCTTTTGCCTTATCACCCAGGCTGAAGGGTAGTTAATTATATTGTATTTTTTTGAGACAAGAGTCTTGCCCTGTCACCCAGGCTGGAGGGTAGTGGTGTGATCGTGGCTCACAGAAGTTTTGAATTCTTGGGCTCTAGCGATCCTCTGGACTCAGCCTCTCAAGTAGCTGGGATTATAGGTATGTGTCAACACACCAGGCTAATTAAAATTTTTTTTTTTTTGTAGAGATGGGGTCTATAATAGCTTTTGTGCCCAGGCTGATGTCTAACTTGTGGCCTTAAGTAATCCTCCCACCTTGGCCTTACAAAACGTTGGGATTACAGGCATGAGCCACTGTGCCAGGCCTGGTACATAATTTTAAAGGAGCCATGATTTCCTGAACTTTACTGAGGTAGTACAAACATTTTCATTTTTTCCCTGCCACAATATAAAGTGATTACCAACTTAAGGGTTAATAAAAGTAACCCTTTTGATCTACCAATTGTAGCTATGCTACTTAGAGGAAAACACTAAAGCTACCTGAGGTTCCTTCTTCTTTCCCTTCCCCTTCCTCCAGTTAATTCATGATGTAGCTATAAGCCACTCCTAAACCTAGGCAACTGTGAGACCATGGGACATTTCTCTATCCTCTGCCTTGGTTACTGGTCAGTGTATAATGATGTAGGATTTTACAACACAAATTACGGCAGCAGTTTTATTTAGAGACCATTTTGAAGGGGAGGGAAGTTACCATTTACTTTTTTCTGTGGGCATTATCTTCATTTGATGCTACCCTACACTGAGATGCATTCGAAAAATAGCTCTGACCTAGAAGACAGAATGGAACCTGAAATTACTAACAATATGACAATCTTTTTTTTTTTTTTTTTTTTTTTTTGAGACAGGGTCTCGCTCTGTCACCCAGGCTAGAGTCCAGTGGCACAAACACAGCTCACTACAGCCATGACCTTCTGGGCTCAAGTGATCCTACCACCTCAACCTCCAGAGTAGCTAGGACTACAGGTGCATGCCATCACGCCTGGCTAAGTTTTTGATTTTTTTTGCAGAGACGAGGTCTTGCTGTGTTGCCCAGGTTGGTGTTGGATTCCTGGGTTCAAACAATCCTCCCACCTTGGCCTCTCAAAATGTTGGAATTACAGGCGTAAGCCATAGTGCTCAGCCAGAATCTTCTAATAAAAGTTATGTAGACTGGGTACAGTGGCTCATGCCTATAATTCCAGCACTTTGGGAGGTCGAGGCAGGCGAATCCCCTGAGGTTGGGAGTTTGAGACCAGCCTGACCAACATGAAGAAAACTCATCTCTACTAAAAATACAAAAAAATTAGTTGGGTGTGGTGGTGCATACATGTAATCCCAGCTACTCGGGAGGCTGAGGCAGGAGAGTCACTTGAACCGGGGAGGCGGAGGTTGCAGTGAGCCGAGATTGCACCATTGCACTCCAGCCTGGGTAACACGAGTGAAACTCCGTTGCAAAAAACCACAAAAGTTATATAATGTTGAAATGAACTTCATACATTTACTAGAGGGAGACGGTGTAGTGTAAAAGAATATGGGCTTTGAAATAAGAATGATCAAGTACAAATACTGGTCCCTCCATTTAACAACTGTGTGACCTTAGGTAAATTATTTCATCTGGGTTTCAGTGTTCTCATCTGTATACTATGGAGAGAGAACTTCTTAGGGAAACTGTGGCAATTCATTCAGATGATGTTTAGTAAAGTTTGACTTACATATGCAAAATAAATTGCTATTATTTCCTGTTAAAATGAAAAGAAAACTCCGGCTTACGTTATCCATTTAAGATTACCATTACAAAGAAAGGCAAAGAATGCTAAGTAACTTATTTTACACAACCTTCTAGATAAAAGGAGATGCTAAAGAATATACACTACACTGAAAAATGTCTGCACACTTCTTGTGACTCCATGACTAGGTGGGAGTTGGAAGAGGAGCAATGTTCCTCCAAACCCTGAAACATTTCAAAAAATATATCCAGACATTGCAGTCCTTAAGAAGTAGCTTGATTATCTGAAACATCCAATAACCAAGAACTAAGAGAAAATCTATGTGCAGAGAAAAATTCTGTGAGGCAAGAAACAAGCAAAGCAAGTTAAGTTTTCTAATACCCAAATATAAATGATTAAAGTGTTCCTTTCTGTGTGTGTAGATTTATTACAGTTATGTCCCCTTAAAAAAGGTGACCTTTATAAATACTTATAAAAGAACACATATTATTTACTTCTGAAAGAATTTTGATTTAAGACTTCCCAACATCTGATCTATTTACAGTAAGTCTTTGTCAAATGCTAGAAAACAAAATGAAGGTTTCTGTTTACCATACAAGGTTTTACCATTAAAATATTTGGGAATTAAATAATTTTGCTTAAATAGGCATTTAAATTCAGTGAATCTTCCAGAATAACTATCAAATTGATAAGATGTAAATACAGATTTTGTTGTTCAAACATGAGTTTTCCATCCACTTACATTATTCTCAGAATTTTAACCAAGCCATGTAAGTCAAATTTAACAAAAACGGTTACAGAGTTTCTATAAGCGGACCATTTTCTAGCTGTCCTAAATTGAAAATGCTGTATTTTGTTTCACTGCTCACTGCAGCCTCGAACTCCTGGGCTCAAGTGATCTTCCCTCCTCAGCCTCTAGAGGTGCTGGAATCATAGGCACACACTACCATGCTTGGCTAATTCTTTTATTTTTTGTAGAGATGAGGTCTTGCTATGTTGCCTAGGCTAGTCCTGAACTCCTGGGCCTTTAGCAATCCACCCAACTCAGCCTCCCAAGGTATGGGATTACAGGCATGAACTATTATGCCCAGCCTGAAAATACCTATTTTAAAGCTATCCCAATTATTGAATAAAGTAGAGCAAAAGAGAATATTGATTAATCTACTGATGGCATTTGATTTAGAATGTGCCCCAACATAAGCCAACATAATAGTTATAAACTTGATATTAAAATGCTGGCTAAATTATTCATGCTTATACACTGACAGGAAACGTTGGTGCCTACGAATGGTAGAATAGAGTTTGCAAAGCAGTAAGAGGACTTTGTTATCACTGCCACTCATCTGTTTAAAAGACTCTGAAGCTAAACATACAACTGATAACACAGTAATTTCTTCTAATCATTACTTTCTTAGGGATGCAGAGATGAGAAAGGCAATGAGTGACAACTTTTTATTTATTATGTGCCCACTTGTTACAATATGGCAGGAAACATTTCAGACCTACTCCTCCATGACAGCAGCCAGGTTTCAGAGCAGAATACAGTTGTCACTGCTTTACTTAGGAAAGACACACGGTGCTTCCTGCTCCAAAGGCAGACAGTCACATGTGCTTATAAAACAGGCAAACAGGCTGGGCGCGGTGGCTCAAGCCTGTAATCCCAGCACTTTGGGAGGCCGAGGCAGGTAGATCACGAGGTCGAGAGATCGAGACCATCCTGGTCAACACGGTGAAACCCCGTCTCTACTAAAAATACAAAAAATTAGCTGGACATGGTGGCGCGTGCCTGTAATCCCAGCTACTCAGCAGGCTGAGGCAGGAGAATTGCCTGAACCTAGGAGGCGGAGGTTGCAGTGGGCCGAGATCGCGCCATTGCACTCCAGCCTGGGTAACAAGAGCAAAACTCCGTCTCAAAAAAAACCAAAAAACAAAAAACAAACAAAAAAAAACCCAGGCAAACAGAAAGTAGTGTCTACTATAAAACCTGAAGACTACCATTATTTAATCTTTTACTGCTGACCTCCGGGTAATTTTTTCATAATGAGAGATACAAAAGCAAAACAATCTAAGATCTATCATACTACCTAAACTCTTTTAAAAAGTTATGGTACTTTTCACCAAATTAAAATAACTGTCTCCTAAAGCAAAATCAACCAAACAAAAACCACTTTCATCTTTAGTATGATCTACATAGAATCTAATGGGCATGATGGGCCTTAGAGACCTTGAGAATAGTTCACACCGAGAAAACTTAGCTCTTAAATTAAAAACAAAACAAAAACAATTAGTTGGTTTTTATAATGCTTACTAAGGACCAAAAAAGTTTTATTTTAATATAGCTGAGATAAAGCCAGATATTCTGTGTAACAGTCAACTAAAGAAGTCCCATTTTAGATTTATCACAAACACAAGTTCACTGACCCCCACAGGGGCACAGTATTGTTTTTAGTTGATCAATCTCTTGGCACACTTAAATATCAACAGCTGGCAATAAGAAAGCCCACACGGCTGGCTCTGAACTAACACCACCACATATGCTGCCTTGGCTGTGTCCCATCAGGCCTTCCTCAATGCCAGACCAAAACATTACGATAAAACACAACATAAACAACAGAAAAATAAACGTGCTAGTCTTGCCTTCCAAGTGAAGTCTTAGTCGGCTGAAAGGTCTGTTTTAAGATTATGACATGGGAAGGATCTACTTTGAATAGAAGAATTGTAGAAGGGAAAAAATTAATCTTTTAATGCTCTGAACAGAAAAACTAAGAACTGTAATTCTGTGATTTTTAGAAAGGCAGATTTTAGCTTAACTTATGGAAGAATTAATATTCTAACAATTTGGACATCTAGCGTTATAAAAGTTACTGGAAATGTTCATCTCTCTCAGGGATATATCACAGTGGAATTCTGCACTGGGTAGGAGATTGTACTAGATAGCCTGAGTCCTTTCCCAATGCTGAGACTCTATGTTAATGGAGAAATATGCCAATGACCTCAAAAATAAATGTAGAGAAAAGTTAGACACTCACCTCTGGCACAAACGAAACAAAAGCCTACATTTACAGCAGAAGAAGAATTACTGCTCCGTTTGGAATGATTACTACAGATGAGAATGTAGGAGGATACTAACATGCTTCCAGCCGCAATGCAAGCATCTCCAGTGTGATAGGCAACTGGACATCTCAAACATCTCATCATGCGGCCTGTTTAAAGACAAGTCAAAAAGGAATCTAATAAGGCATCAGTGGGGCATAAAATGAAGTTTCTGGAGTTGGGCTTTTTTGGGTTCCCATGTGATGCTAGCTATAGTAAGATAAAAAGCATTTTGTCTTCCCTAGTCTGGCTCTGTCATCCTATGCTACATGGCCCCTAAATGTAAGCCTAATAGTCACTTAGAGATCATCCAAAGAAAAAATTATTTGTTCCAATGCTGCAGAGATGGTGGTATCCAACATGGCACCTACCTAAAGATTTCGAGGGTATTTGGAACACATGGAATTTTCTACTCATGGTCTGAATTTAGAATGTAATTTCTACTTAACATGCTATGTACTGTGGCTCAACTGTTAAAGCTAGAGATATACAGAGGAAGAATACCCTATGTTTTTTGAAATATATGCTTGATATTATTTGCCACTGCACCTAAAACAACAATCTTTGACTCCTTCTTCAGCTATTTTACCTTTGCTTGCTTTGTGGATGTCTTTCTCCATAGAGCAGGCAGAGCAGCAGTGCTGAGGACAGCGGAATCCTTTTGATTCAAAGATGGCAGTGGGGAATTTGCGGACACAGGCTTCATGATAAAATTTTCCACAAGCACCAACAGAACAACGCTTCACATCTTTACCAGACACTTTACATGAAAAACATGGGTGCTGCCCTGGAAAATTAGTGAGGAATACAAATTAAATAAAATCGACTAAAGCATATTCAAGTAGAAGCAGCTACAGACATCAAACACCTACTCCTAAAACAGACTCTATTACCATATATAAGAATTTAATACACAAAAAAGCATTTAAAATAAATGCTAAATTGAAAGTATGTTTTAGGCCGGTGCAGGCTCACACCTATAATCCCAGCACTTTGGGAAGCTGAGGCAGGCAGATCACAAGGTCAGGAGATTGAGACCATCCTGGCTAACACAGTAAAACTCTCTCTACTAAAAATACAAAAAATTATTAGCGGGGATTGGTGGCAAGGGCCTGTAGTCCCAGCTACTCGGGAGGCTGAGGCAGGAGAATCACTTGAGCCCGGGAGTGGAGGCTGCAGTAAGCCAAGATCGTGCCAATGCACTCTAGCCTGCGCAACAGAGTGAGAAGCAAGACTCCATCTCAAAAAAAAAAAAAAAAAAGTTATGTTTTAAATTTTGCTAGAATAATTGATTATCAATTTGGAGACAAAACACTAAAAACAATTTAAATCTCCAAAATTGAAACCGCAGAAAATCCAAAAGAGAATTTGTTTAACATCTAGTAGCAGAGAGGAGCAAAGTCTTCCCCACAGAAAATAAATAAATTACCAAAGGAAAGACAGATTCCATTAGCTAATCACTGATTATTTCTATGTGCAAAACAGACAGAAAATGAAAACTTACAATCCTAATAAAAAAGAAAATTACAGCTAGACATCTTATTTAAACTATAGAAAATCAAAGACAAAGAAAATATTCAAATTATCCACAGAAAAGACAATTACTTTCAAACAGAGCTGACTGAAAGAAAAAAATAGAAGCCAATAAACAACAGAATGCTATCTTCAAAGGGCTGAAAGAAAATAATTAACAAACCAGAATTCTATACCCATTGAAAATATTCTTCAAGAACGAAGTGAAATCAATATTCACTGGGGAGAATTAACAAAACCTAGTTCTTTGAAAAAGAATAATAAAACTGATACCTCTGGTAAAAGTAACTAATTAAAAAAAAGGAAAAAGGTCCTAATATTAATATCAGAAATGAAAAATGGAACATCACTACAAATCCTACAAACATTAAAAAGATAGTAAAAGGCTATCACTATATTCTTGCTAATAAATTTGAAATTTTAGATGAATGGAGAGATTCCTAGAAAAAAAGAACTTACCAACACTGGCACAAAAACAGGAAATATGAATAGTTCTGTAAACTATTAAAAGAAATTGAAGCTATAACTGGAAATCTTTCAACAACAACAAAAAATTTAGGCCCAGATGGCTCCACTGGTGAATATGCCAGACATTCAAGGAAGAAAATAATGCCAAATATGAAAAAATTAAACAGGAAAAGGGGGAGAAACAAGTAAAAGACAAACAGATATAGGGAAATATGCAACAAAAATGATAAAAGATTATGTTTTGTTGTATAAACAGTTTACATATGAAGAAAATACACATAACATATATAAGCAAAGATAATGGAATAGGACTTACAAACTATAAAACAATATAGAAAACAACCAAAGCAGCCTAATGTAAAAATGGGTAGAAGACTTAAGTAGGCAATTTACAGAAAGACAAAGAGCCAAAAGAACATTAAAATATGTTCATTTTCACTAGTAATGAGATAAATGCTAACTGAAACCAGTTATAAAGTAGAAAAAACTTAAAGTGTTTGATAATATCAATTATTATTATTTTTGAAACAGAGTCTCACTCTGTTGCCCAGGCTGGAGTACAGTGGTGTCATCTTGGCTCACTGCAACCTTTGCCTCCTGGGTTCAAGTGATTCTCGTGCCCCAGTCTCCTGAGTAACTGGGACTACAGTGCTAATACCAGTTATTGATAAGGGTATAGGGGGCTCATTGGAGTTTAAGTTGGAAGGAACAACCTTAGAAGGCAACTGGGCAATATCCATGAAAATAAAAGTACACTCACTTTCTGCCTAGAAATTCAATTTCTCATTAACTACATTAGGAAAGACAGAGTAAATGTAAAAGGATGTTGCCTGATGTTGCCTGAAATGTTGTAATGGCAAACAAGTGGAAGTAACTCAAGTTTCCTTCAATAGGGGATGACTTAAATAAACTATGATTATATGTATACTAGGGCACTATGCAGCAATTAAATAGAATGCATCTGTACTGACATAAAAAGAGCTCTAGCAGAACAATGCTATGATAGATTTGTCCTACCACACGCACACAGACACACACAAAGGTTTGCAAGGCTACACATCAAACTGACAATGGTTGTTGGAACTGGAACTAAGTAAGGGGCTAGGATTAAAATTGATGATCAAGGGTGACATCAGCTAGAACAGTAATTATAATATTTTCATAACAATGTGGTTATATTTTACTTGTATAATTATAAATTTAAAATATTAACAAATAACATTTTAACACCACAAAACAAATAAGAGACATAAACAGATAATTCACAAAAGCAAACAAAGATAACAGAAAGAAATGTTTAACTTTAAGCAAAGAACTGCAGATTATAATAACAAACTTGTCAAATGTTTACTGGCCACTTGGATATCATCTTTGAAAAGTGTTCAAGTCTTTTGTCCATTTTTCTTGTAGTCTATTAAAAATCTGAAGTAAAAAATGTAAGGAATAGCTGTGTTTTTTTTAATTGTACTTTAGGTTCTGGGGTACATGTGCAGATCATGCAGAATTGTTGCGTAGGTACATACATGGCAATACGGTTTGCGTCCTTCCTCTCCCATCACCTATATCTGGTATTTCTCCCCACGTTATCCCTCCCCACCCTGCCTACACCCCGCTATCCGTCCCCTAGTCCCCTACAACTGACCGCAGTGTGTGATGCTCCCTTCCCTATGTCCATGTGTTCTAATTGTTCAACACCTGCCTATGAGTGATACCATGTGGTGTTTGATTTTCTGTTCTTGTGTCAGTTTGCTGAGAAGGAACAGCTTTGTCTTTTTACAGAAAGTTAGGTGAACTGTATTATTGTTCTTTGATTCTGGAAGTATCTAATCCCTACAAATTGGCTGAATTATAAATGAGTAGTTAAAACTGGGATATTCACTTGTTAAATTGCCTTTCATGCAGAAATAAAGTACAGTAAGATGGTTTTTTTGGGTCCCCATTGTATATATGTAATTTCAAAGTACATTTTTTCACCACCATGTTTAAGGCCAATAAAGTATACCTTACCATGTATATAGATATGAAGGTAATTGTATTTTTTAAAATAACTTTTATAAGTTTTAAACATTAAAAAAAAATATATTTTAAAGGTAGGAAGTTAGACTTCACAGATTTGCCCAATGCATAAACTGCTCTATGTAAAACTAAAATAGGCTGCTGGGCACAGTGGCTCACGCCTGTAATCCTAGCACTTTGGGAGGCTGAGGCAGGTGGATTACCTGAGGTCAAGAGTTCGAGACTAGCCTGGACAATATGGTGAAACCCCATCCCTACTAAAAATACAAAATTAGCCAGGCGTGGTGGTGCATGCCTGTAATCCCAGCTACTTGAGAGGCTGAGGCCACGAGAATCACCTGAACTCAGGTGGCAGAGGTTGCAGTGAGCTGAGATTGCGCCATTGCACTCCAGCTTGGGCAACTAGAGCAAAACTCTGTCTCAAAAAAAGAAAAAAGAAAATAAATAAATAAATAAATAAATAAAATAGGCCTTCAGCTGGTCATGGTGGCTCACGCCTGCAATCCCAGCCATTTGGGAGGCCGAGGTGGGAGGATCACTTGAACCCAGGAGTTCAAGACCAGCCTGGGCAACACAGTGAGACCCCATCTCTACAAAAAAATTAAAAATTAGCCAGGTGTGACGGTATGTGCCTGTGGTTCCACCTACTCAGAAGGCTAAGGTAGGAGGATTGAGCCCAAAAGGTTGAGGCTGCACTGAGCTATGATCACGCCACTGCACTCCAGCCTGGGTGACAGAGCAAGAACCTATCTCAAGAAAATCTAAAATAAAATAAGCTTTCATTTATGTAATTATCAAAATAAGCCTAATATAAATGAAAATAGTTAAAACTAGTACAAGTGTTATGCTAACAGAGAGGTGAACTATCAAACTTAAAACTTTAAGACTTAGGTTAGGGCTCTAACATGTGAGTGCTTTCCAAACTCTTCCTTTTCACTAGGAAATGGTCTTCATTAAGATTCAGTCAGTCAGGAGCCAAGAATGGTGGCTCACACCTGTAATCCCAGCACTTTGGGAGGCCAAGGTGGGTGGATTGCTTTAGTCTGGGAGTTCAAGACCAGCATGGGCAATACGGTAAAACTGTCTCTCTACTAAACAATACAAAACAAAACAAAACAAAACAAAACAAAAACAAAAAAAACTAGCTGGTGGCTGGGCATGGTGGCTCACACCTGTAATCCCAGCACTTTGGGAGACCAAGGGAGGTAAATCACTTGAGGTCAGGGGTTCGAGACACCCTGGCCAACATGGCAAAACCCTGGCTCTACTAAAAACACAAAAATTAACCAGGAGTGGTGGTGTGCGCCTGTAATCCCAGCTACTTGGGAGGCTGAGGCACAAGAATCACATGAATCTGGGAGGTGGAGGTTGCAGTGAGCTGATATTGCACCACTGCACTCCAGCCAGGGCAAAAGAGCAAAAATCTGTTTCAATAAATAAATAAATAAGCTAGCTGGGCATGGTGGTGCATGCCTGTAGTTCCTGTAGCTAATCAGGATGCTGAGGTGGGAGGATCACCTGAGCCTGGGAGGTTGAGGCTGTAGGGAGCTGAGATTGTACCATTGCACTCCAGTCTGGGCAACGGGACCAGGAAAAAAAAAGAACAAGTCAGAAGTCAGTCCATCAGGCCAGAGTCGAGGACCATGGGGGAAGTGGGGAAAAAAAGAATAAGTAAAACTGTTACAGAACTCTTTTTGGAGCCTTATTCTAATATACATTTTATTCAAAAGGCCAAATAAAAATGCTTTCTTTCCAGAAATCACATCTGTC